TAATGTTTGCCAAGATCACCATCAGACTTGCCAAACATGCTGAATTTCGGGTGAAATATTTCAGCAAAACATGGGTGAAACAATATATTGATCACGTAGTCGTACTCGTACTTGCGTGAAAAATCCCCCGCATTCAGTGAATCACTTGCTGATATGGATTCTCTTTTGTTTTACTACAAATATTGCATTTATCAATTGAACAGTCGGTTCCTGTACACTAAACTTCTCCACTCCTTCCCTTCAAATAGAAACACGACTTCCTCTACTGTTATCGTCATTATTAACACAGATATTGAAGAATAGGGTTCTTAGTACCGTTAGCAATGATTCTCTATTTTATTTTTAGCCATGTGAATGTATCCATATCAAAAGTGATTGTAAAGACACACGAAATCAAAAGGGGATGGAGGGAGGTTATTTTGGTTGTCTGTTGTGTCCAGTCAGAACATTCCGAATTGACCGGAAATGATAATTGAAAAAAATATTTTCTCTTTTCTTTGGGTCTTGTCAACTTGTGCGTGTGATATGTGTGCAAGGGATTGTGTACTTGCTACTAATTATGGAATGCATTCATTTTACGTATCGTATCATTTTCATTATGCCACAACTCCAGTACAGCACACACACAACAACAACGGCAACGATTATATCCGGTGGTTACTTGAGACTCTCAGCTTGTTGTCAATATTTTCGTATAGCGGCCTTTTTACTCTTCTTGGTTTGGTTCTTGTCTCCTTTTATTGTAAGTTTTGCCTTAGCGGTTTGGAAACTTTGGTTTAAGGTTGACAAGCCTGAACTAGGCTAAAACAGAAAGAAAAATCTGTGAGGAACTTGACATGAGATTTTAGCATGCTAAACTGTTTTCCAGACAAGTCAGCTACATTATAAAGTTTTTTTTAGGCTTATCAGATTATTCGAAATGATTAATATGACATTATGTAGTAGACTGTAGATCTGTTGAACTTTGGAAAACTGCGACTATTTATAAAATTTGATAAGCAGAAATAGCTTTTTGCATTTTAAATACGTTCTAGCCAATTGATTGATTTGATAATGAATAGAAAAAGTATGTCGTTCTATTATAGTTTGTCTAGACGATAAGTTGGTTTCTATTATTTTGTAAGTGTAAATTTAACTATTCAGATTTTGCCATCCTTGTTGTTGGTTCTTTTTTTTTTTTTTTTCGCACGCTTTTTGGGAATCGTCTTCTGTATCTTTTTTTTTTTTAGCTTGCCAATAAGATTGCATCCGCATTGTGTGCATTTTTTTGCGTGGGGGGCCACAACAAGAATGTTTCTTGATGACAATTAAAGTGAACTGCTACAGCACAGTATATACGCTGAATAAAGGCAAATGCATCGTCTGATTGCGGCTTAGGCGTGGCTTATCAGCGGCAGTGAAGGCAACAATGCAATGAAAGTGCACTCTGCTTTCTTCTGCTTCTCCTTCTTCGCCGTCTTATTGTTCTCCCACTCGAAACTTGGGTCTACTTGAGCCTGATTGAGGGAAACTTTCCACTCAATTGAGAGGAGGATGGCTGGACACACTGACGGATGGATGGATGGCTTTATGGATGTTTGATATGTGTGCGAGCGATGCCATTAACGGTCTCTCTTGATTAGTTTATAAAAGTTCAATTGTGCTGGTGCGCATGCACTCGCCCATTGTCCCTATACACCACAAATGGTGAAACTTTTCAATTTTAATTGCACAACAATGTACATTTCATGATGCCACACTGCCACTGATCTTGGAGGGAGTGCAAATGGAATCATTGGATTGGGATTGGGTATGGGTTTGAGAATGATGGCTCTGCGCCTGCGCTTTAACAAGCAAAACAACGGCCAGGCCAGCATCTCTCAAACACACACAAATTAATGTTTGACCGGCCGGCCGGCCGGCTAGACATTCAGACGGTCATTCAGCCGGCACATTCCAGCACAATCAATTTAATTTACGTATCAAAACGTCTCATCTCTCCCTCGCAGAGAAGCGAGAATGAGACAGCCAGATGGATAGATAGAATTGGAAGGAGTAGTCTGAGCTGTCAGTTTGGCTTTTTTCCAGCTATATTTCTATTTATTAAATTAAACAAAATAAAAATGAATCGTTTTTACGTCAAATAAATATAAATATGCACACATTTCATTTTATTTTCTTAGATAATATTAACTTCATTTAATTCTGTAATTTAAAATACGTTATGATCGTATAAGCAACTTGTTATAAAGTTATTGTAATTTAGCTTTGTTTCTGATCAGCACTGTTCGCGGAGGAATGCAGGAGCAGCAAAGTAATACACAACAGCTTGGAGTGTCAAAATTGATGGGCGGCTGCGTTCGAAAGGCAGGGGAGTGGGAATGAATTGAAGCTCACACTCACGCCTCTTTGTGCTGTTGCTTCTTTTTCGAACACACTCCATTGTTGATAAATGCGCTTTTATTTATAGACTGCGGCTGCCGTTTTGTTAGCTTGTGAGAGCTCTGCTCTGCGTTTTCCTTTGTCGTCCATCGGCTTGACAGTTAAGAGGGAATTGGAAAGGGAAGGGGGAGGGCGTGTGAAAGTGGGCGCATATGTCAAAAGCCATGTCTAATTGAATTAAACTAATAAAAACCAAGACACAAAGGCCCCGAAAACGGTCGTTGCTGTCGCCCATTAAGTAATTTTCATAGATTACAAATTTAGGCGGCACATCCACCCTTAAGTGACTACCCAATATTCAATTTCCCCGACTCTTAAATTTATTTAGAGAAATGCAGTGGTACTTTTCCTTTTTGAAATTTTTAAAAAAGGTATTGGTTGCTATTTAGTAACAAGATATTGATGCTTTACCTAAATAAAATAATAATATTACAGTACAAAATAAGGAGAATAACATTTATTTCGTGTTAGGATCCGTTAAAAGTTTACGAGTATAGCAGTGCCATTTACAATGATCTGGCAACCCCAATATGTCCTAATACATCGAATAATTTTCGGACCGCACTCAATTATTTTCACACGCCCCACAGCAGAGGGTTGTGGGTAGATGAAGGGTAGAGGGTGTAGGACGAGGAAGTGAAACAGAAAGAGGGAGGTACAACAGTTGTTGCTAGGTTGGCATAGCAACGTGCAATGACCAGACCCGTTAATGTTATTATTGTTGTAGTTGCTTGCCAAATGCCGGCAACCCTCGCTCTCAAATCCTTCCGCTCTCACTCACTCTCTCGCTCTCGATGTCCTTTTCCTTGATGCGTCATGCGCGCCAGTTTACTTGCGCTTTTATGTTATTACCTTCCCCAGTAAAGAGTAGCGGGGATAGGGGATGGTATTTCGGCATATTTCGGCCATTACTCATCCAGTTTGCATAGACATAGGCCAGGAATTAATAGCCATAGCCTTATTCTTCTTCTCACATCGAATATGTCTCTCTGCTTCTCTCGCTCCATTATCAGTCCGATCGAAATACATAACCGAGAAGCTTCAGTTGGCCCGGTATTGTATGGTATATTGTGTTGTCTCGTATTAATTGCTGTCGGGTTCGTTGAACCCATAGAGTCTTGAAACTTGAGGTCTCTTTTCTTGTTACGTATTTAAATTGATATATGATGTATATATTTGCCGAGCGTAGAGTGCGCGAATGTACGCTTTCAATGCAGATTAAGGGCTTTTGTTTTTATTTCTAATTGGAAATCTTATCTTTAAGGGCTTTATTTAATGAGGCAAGGCTGTCAATTAAAATTTTGGGAACTGTAACTGCCGTAAAACTGTCATTAGTTTTTAAAGTATTCCTTTTTTAGCACTTAGCTTTTAATTTTGTAATCAAAACAAATTTGTCACACCCTTGTTTAGTAAACAACGATATTGAAAGTGATTCAATCCTCTTTCGAGCAAATCCAATATCGTAACGTTTCAATTTACGGCTATCAGTCTGGGAATCATTCATTGCTTTAATGTTTAGTTTCCTGCCCAAGCCTTGAGTCATGTCTACTAACTAGGCATTGGTAAATTGAAGCTAATGAGTCACTGATGGATTCCCGGAGAAGTCTTCATTTGCATATGGCGCACCACGTGCCGGTGGTGCGTGTGCTTGCGCTTGTATTAGTGTTAGAGGTGGAAGGGTGTGCGAGGAGAGTGGTGCAGATGGGTCGGATGTGGGAGGCTGTTGATTCACTGGTCTAGATATAGCGGTCGAAACAGCTGCTCTTTTGGCCTTTGTTGTCTGTGTGCCAGTGTGTGTGTTGCCGCCATTTTTTAACTGCACACGAGCACACACACCTTCCCCGTTTTATTCCCACTTACAACCCCTAAAAAACGCAAACTTCTTGTTGTGCCACCTCTCACCGCCCCAAAAATTTGGTTCTTTGCTACGGTTTCTGTTTCATTCTCTCTAGCAAAAAATTTGTGTAATTCGATTTTGCTTGAAAATGACGCATTGCATGCTAAAAACCCTCCTCCTCCTTCCCTATTCTCTTTTCTTTGCTGTGGTGTCTGTTTCGTTGTTTCATATAAACTTCCCAACGAAAAAGAATAACATTCAAGAGTCGGTGAATCATGGGAGGCGTTCGAATTGTTTACGATTACTGCGGTCTGGTCTAGCCGTTACAGTACTTTCTCGGTAATAGGAGACGCCAGTTAGTATTTTCTAGGAATTTCAGGTTAGATTATAGTATTAACACGCCGATCTTTTAGTTAAAATTCTGCAAGACTAGCAACACCCTCATAAAAGGCATATTTATATTCCCTACTCTAACAATAGTTTAGATAGTATTTTATCGTGTTTATTTGCTTCATGGTCTAACTTATTTGATAAGCCCTCTTTGGTTGACGTACAATCGGCAATCCTTATTGAGGTCATTGCATTGCATTTGAAAGATCTAGAGTGCGACTCATTGAAAATGTCAATCGCAAAAATAGGAGAAACACACAAGCTATAAATATAAAGGGCTGCCGTACTTGTGCTATTTCCCATTCAACAATGCTTCACATTTAAACTAAATACTCACATTAATTTCTTACAGTTAACACTAGCGACTAAACGGAGGATCAGCAAGAAAAAATGGGTAAAGCTCAGAGCAAGCGTTCAATCGATATCACCACCGATCCCAAGAAGGTCGGCGAGGGTGATGAGGTGGCCGGCAAGGTGGAGAAAATTGATGTGGACCAGAAGACGGACGCACCTGCGGTGAATGGCGACGCTGCCACACCCAAAGAGGGTGGCGATGAAGCGGCGGCGGGAGATGTAAGCAAAAACAATATTAAAATCTAAAAACAAAGACTGATTTCTCATTTTCGCTACAGAAAAAGGAAACGGAGGAGCATTCTGAGAACGACAAAGATCTGACCACTGAAAAGAGTGCCGCAGTCGCCGAGGGTGGAGATGCAGCTGTTGAAACTCCAAAGGGGGAAGAGGGTTCTCCCAAGGAGGGTGCTGCCGCTGCTGGCGAGGATATCACCCCACTGGCCGACGAAAGCATCAAGTCCAAGTCGAAGAAAGACAAGGTTAAGAAGAAGTGGTCCTTCCGCAGCATCTCCTTTGGCAAAAAGGACAAACAGAAACCGGCCAAATCCGAGGATGCTGTTTCCCCCACCTCTGGCACAACGTCGCCCACGACGGCAGAGGCAGAGACTGCTCCTGCTGCGGATGCAGCTCCCGCTGAGCCAGCGGCCGCCACAAATGGCGAGGCCGATAAACCAGTTGAGGTAAGTTACTAAGTTACTATTTGAAGAACAATAATTAATTTATGGTTTTATGTTTATCAGACTGCCACTGCTGATACCACCAGCGAGCCGGCGTCTAAGGATGAGGCACAGCCCACCGAGAATGGATCAGCGACCGAGCAGGAGAAACAGGCCAACGGAGAAGCCGAGAAGGCGGCGCCAGCACCAGCCACAGTTGAGGAAGCGGCACCGCCCAAGCCCACCGAGGAACCAGCCACAGTCACTGCCACCGAAGAAGTTCCCGTAAAAGAGAGCCAGCCAGAGCCCGAAGTGGTTACCAATGGACACGGATCCGGAGAGGCGCTGACCAACGGATCAAGTAATGGACTGGCCGAATCTCCTGTAGCCGAAACAGCACCAGCCGCTGGCAACATTCCAAGCAACGTTGATGACGAGCAGCCGCACCAGAATGGCACCAATGGCACTACCACGCCCCCGCCCACTCCCGTGGCCGTCGAGATCGAGAAGGGACAGCAAATTGAGGTAAACAACCAAAACCACACAAGAACAGACAGCACCACACAACACAACAGTAAAAACTTCACTGTAAATACAAGTACAACAACAACAAAAACAACAACCGAAATCACAGAAAACACTGCACTAAAAACAATAAGTACAGAAACAGAAAGAACATGCACAAGCACAGTGACCGAGACCGTTCTAGCAGCCGCAGAGTTAGTTCAGACCCAAACAATCCTAACCAAAACAACCAACACGATCCTTCCCACCTCCCACACGCAGGCCAGCAACGAAGTGATTGAAGAAGCAGTGACCAACAGCCAGGCGGAGGAGGAAGTTGTGGCGGCTATTATCAAGGCGGTTAGCAGCGAACTTGAGCCCGAAACGGAGACTGAGGCGGAGGCAGAGGGATTCGTGGTTGTTGCTCCTGTGGCCACAGAAGTCGAGGTCCCTGTTTCCATTACCCTTGTTGCATCCGTTCCTGAAGTTCCAGAAATTGAAACTGAATCTGTACCTCAGGCTCACGAAGTTAAAACTGAACAGGAGCCCGAAGTTTGCGATGTTGTAACTGAGCAGGTACCTGATGTTCCCCAAGTTGAATCTGAGTCTGTTATTGTGGAAGTAAGGAGCACCAGTCCGCCACCTCCATTGCCCAAATCTCCGCCTCCATCTCGTGTCTCCGCTTTTGTCCTGTCCGATGAGGTTATCGAGGAGCAGGTCACCCCGAAACACCCCTGAACTGAGCGAACCAAATCGCGATGAGATCGAACAGCAGGCCATCAACATTGTGACTGAAATCACCGAGCAGGCGGCAGAGATTGTCACCGAAAAGGAGAATCAAGAGGAAGATGTCAAGGAGGAGTCTGTTCCTGAAGTAGTTCAGGATGTTGCCTCTACAGTTGTAGTTGATGAAGTTTCGCCAGTTCAAAGCGAAGAAGTAACGGTTTCATCCCCAACGGCTGATCTAGCTCCTACAAGCCCCGATGTTCAGGATGATCTAGCCACAGGCAACGATGAAGAATCTGTTTCAGTTCCAGCTGTCATTGATCCTGCGGACGTAGTTTCCGCTGTTGTGGATGAAGTAAATGTTGCTGTAACGGAATCTGTGAATTCTGAAGTAAAGCAAGAAACCGCAAGCATCAGCTCCAACTCCTCAGAGGAAGAGAAAGTTAATGAGCAGGCGGTAACTGAAACTCAGGTAGAAGTCATCCAAGAACTGCCGGAACCTATTGTAGAAGTCTCCCAGCAAGAAACATCCGAGGAACAAGTCATTTCCGAAGATGCGCATAGCGATAACGATAAGGAGAACGAAATCGACCTGGTTGGAAACATCATCAGCGATCTAGATGCCCCGATCACCAAAGCAAGTGGCGATCTCCTGGCTGAGTTGGATGTGAGACCCGCGGAACTGGATGGCGAGAGCAACAACAAGGTGAATAATAGCAACTGGCAGTGAGTCTTAAAAACTGCAACACCCTCAACTCTTCAAAACACATCGACTTCAAAAAGAACATAATACCATTTTGCATCTGCCGCTCCATTACGTGGGCATGGAGTTTTGTCCTGGGAGTGCTTTTCCTGCTTTCTCCATTCTGTGTGTGTTTCTCACTCGAATGGCATCAGAGTTATTCTGCTGTCGGTAGCGCGCTTGTTGGTCGTAGTTAATACGTAGTTCGTTAGTGTTTGGTACATCTATTGATTGATTGATTTGCTCGGGGATTGCATGATTATTTGGTGATTTAAAGCGAATGAAGTACGTACTACTAAACTGAGGATAAGCGACTGCATATTTGTGTATTAACCACAACAAACCAAGTCCATAAACACAACATAAAACCACAGCATTCATCCTAATCCATACATGCACACAAAAACACAAATTTAGAAAACAGAAAATTATTACTCCCGCTCTCTCCTAACCCAATATATCTGTTTGGCTGTCGTAACTCTTGCGCTCTCTCTAAAACCAAAGACCATAAAAATACAACAGTACCTTAATGTTGAAAACACGCACACGCACTCACAATCGCTTATTAAAAAACATTATTTTGTATTTGTTTTTATTTTTTACGCTGACAGTTGTCGCGTCTCTTCTTTTTCCTAATTGTTGTTGTTGTGCTTTCAGTTTGTAATTTTTTTTTGCATTCAACACTTAAATAAAAATCTAAGATTGATAAATAATTAATATCTTTCTTTTTCGCTAGGTGGATCTCGCCAAGGATCTGAAGGAGAAGAATGCCGCGGCAGACGTTACAACACAGGAACAACTGCCCGTTACATGCGAATAATCCTACTCATAATTATTATATATAATATTACATATTATTAAAAACAAAAAAACAACAAACGATACAAGCAACAACAAAAGAACGCAACGTAAAACAACAAACAATTACAAGATAAACGAGATAAAAACAAAACAAAAACAAAAAACAAGTAAAAATACATTTTTAAACATTTACATATTTTAAATACTTTTTGTACGAACTTCATATCCCTAATCCAAGATATATGCAAGCAAAAGTCCGATTTACACGTGACACCACTATCCACGCCACCACTATAACCACACCCCACTCAATCAATCAATCACCTACGCGCAGGCATCAATGATTTTGCATTGAATTGCCTTTGAATTCCAGATCGGGGGGATACCCTATACCACATCCATCACCCATAAAGCACACATCCACCACCACATACCACATGCGCATACATACCATTCTCATATTGATGATCTTGATAGAAAAAAAAAACGAATCAACAAATCATATACGATGAAAAGATGAAAGTGAGGAGAATTTTTTGAATAATTTCTACTATACATTTAACTGTAAGTTCGAAGAAATTTGTAAAGAATTTTTGGACGAAATATTGGATAAAATATATATTATAAAATATAAAACCCAAAAGCGTGCTTCACTCATATCCACCGGCTGAAATATAAGAGAGATATACGATACGAAGAACCGGAGAAAGGAAACACTGTTTTGAATGTTTTAGTTCTTTTTCAGTCGAGTCCCATTCCTCTTCTTTAATACACTACAAAAAAATAGTTTTTCTTTACAATATACATGTTGTGTAACAAAGTGTTACAAAAATACCCAACTTGTCCTGGTAATTGGAGTAAGCGCTAAGATTATGTTTTAAGTACATTCTTAATATTTCGTAATGGTTAATTTAACGTAACAAAATGTTACTACAAACAAACTACAAAAGCTCCAACGAAAGCTTCTAAAGCGAAAAAAATACGAAACTAAGAAATGATAAAGAAAAGCAAATACTAATTGTGCGTCTTTTGCAACTAAATAGAAAATCCTACTAAGTACACTAAATGTATTCAATAAATTAAAGCGTTAACTTTGCGCTGCGCAACGTAAAGAAAAATATGGTCAAAAAGAATTTGCCATCCAAAAATCAGGCGAATATAGGCGAAACCAAAAGTGTTTCCAAATCAAATCGAAGTTTAAGGAGAAGGACATCTCCTTTTTTTCTCGGAGGTCCTTTAACATCTGACAAAAAAGCGCTGCTTTTGCAGGTGTAGTTGTTGCTGCTTCCGCCGGTAATCTGGCACATTGCGAAGCATGAAGACGGCTGCGAAGAGCACGTAGAGCGACGAGAGCATGATGAGTACGGGGAAGGAGAAGACTATGTGCGCCATCCTGACCTTTCGATGAACTGTTGGAGGCGTGTAGACGTAGTCACCTGCAATGATCAACGAGATTAGTTCTAATCGACTGATGGGGATAGGTATAAACCTAATAGATTATAGCTCTCGACCTATTGACATACGAGGATACTCACCATTCCAACTCTTGTAAGCGCACCTTTCTCCATCGTAGTCATTTACGCATATGCAGGAGTGGAAGACCGTATTGTTGACCATCGGATGCTGGAAACAGTGGCCACCGTTTAAACAGAAGCTTGTGTTGTAGGCTTCGCTGCAGGGCAGCATCAGAATCTCGGCCTCCTTGTCCACTGGTTTGGGTGTGCTGGGTGTGGGCGTACTAGTCGAGCTCTGGTCAGGTGGCGGTTCTCCTGTGTGTGTAACGGTTTCGGTTGTTGTCACCGTCTCGGAGGCAATGATTATTGTGCTGCTCTCGTTGGTCAACCAGGTTGCAGTACTGGATCTATCGTAATCTGAATCCTGTGTGGGATCAACGGCCACAGGGTTATTGTCCACATTTTGCTGTTGGCTGTCCGTTTCCGGATTGGTATTATCCGTTTCGGGATGCAACTGCTCTGCCTCCTCCTGAGCCGAGGCCTCCAGTTGCTTGCGCTGCAGCTCCAGACGATTGAGTAACTCGACCGCAGTGTCCTGGATCTGCTGCTGAAGCTCGTGCGCATGCTCATGCATGTGGCTGTGCTGATGCTGCACAATTTTCAGCGTATGCTCTCGGAGCAGTAAGATCCGGCTCGAACAACAATCTGCAGAAAGGAAGTGATTTTAGTAAAAATCAGGAAGAAATGCACACATATAAATAAACCGGATTAAGTATCAGCACTTTAAGCTAAGCAATTTAAAGAAATGCTGGTGTTTATGTAATAAACTGATCTTTGTTTGGCAACTACCTTTTGTCAAAAATATTTGGAAGTGCAACTATTAATAAAATTGTTTGCTGTTTGATTTACATTAAATATACATCAACTTCCTTTAAATTTAAGCTCATTCTGTAAAATAATTTTTAAACCTATGTTTTCAAAACTAAAGAAAATTCTTATTAATGGTATGCCTCTATATCGATTGCATTTTGAAGCAAATTAAAAATAAAACGAAAAACCCCATTTGCGAATTTCGTAAAGCTATGTTTTGCCTTTTTCTATGTTTTTATAGCCAAAAATAGCTTTTTATTGTTTGAGAACCTGAACGATGTTTATATTTTATTGTGTTCTGAGTTCAGCTGGAAAAATGAAATTACTTACCTGTGACGGCGACAATTGTTGAGAGCACGAAAATTACTTTGAATATCCGAGTAAATAGGATTTGCATCATTGGAAAACGCTTTGTGGCGTTCCGAAAAATATCTGGTGGGTGGACCGATTGTCCACCTCTAGGAAAATTGAGTCAATGGAGAGGTGAAGACGATCTAGGGATCGAGCGGCGTGCTAGCCGCAAATGCAATTTGGCGTCGCAACAGAAGCAGAAACATACTACACACTTGCATCTCCTTGTGGATTTTACTGCAAAATAAAAATAGAACATTTTAGCGCTTCCACATTTTCTGTCGCACGAGCACACACATGCACACACAAATAAAAAAATAGTACTAAAAATTTGGTGATCCAAAAGCTTAATATAGACTATTATCGACGTACTGGAGCAGCAATGTCGGCCTGGGAAAGGCTTTGACATTATAATTATTATAATGACACGTGAATCATTTTAAATACGTAAACTTATCGGGAGAATTAATTAGTTAATTTAGTGAGCAGCAAGCGCGGGAAGCGGGCTCTCCTCTGCTCTGCTTTGATTTTAGGTCTTGTTGCGCGCACGTCAGGAAAGAGACTAAGAAAAACAGAGCCAGAGAAACAGATGGATCCCAACGGCATGCGCCATGAATATGAATGAAGTCAAACGGTGAGCAGGGAGAGCAAAGAGAGCGTCCCCAAGAGATGCAATTGCTCAAAAGCAGAAATTAAGCAAATAATTTGCATAGATATGCTAAGAGAATAAATACGGTCATTAACAGTTATCAAATATAGTTATCCGTGAGAAATTTTTTGCTGCATACTTACAGGTTTACACGCTTGAAATCTTTAAAAAATCAAAGAAATTCCCCTTTAAGTAATTGATAAATTTGGAGAATACAAATTAGAATCATATTGAACTGGATTTTTTTTTTGCTTTTTGACTGACATTTCCAGAGGTGTCGGTTATATAAATCTCCAAGTCTACAATTTAATGTTTTATTGTTTAAGATAAATTAAACCCATTATTTGGCCAAACTTTTTTTTAAAGAAATAATTAAGATAATTTATTGCTTAGTTTTATCCTTACTAACGAGTACAAGAGACTAATTAAATATCGACTAATATATATATAAATATATATCTCAGTAGAATTTGAACTATAACGAGCACTTGATAAAATATAAATTCAAAACAATGGCAAAACTTTAAGTTGGTGGTTCCATCGGGGAAACACCCAAGTGTGTGTTTCCTAGGAAGTCCAGCTCGGAGCACTGACCAATGACACGGCCTATGTCCTGCGGTTGCAGCCAAAACTGGGCATTAGCCGCCGCCGGTGGCAGGTGCTCTAAGGTCTCCTGTTGCGTTTTGGCCGCCAAGGACCGACGTACCAATCTTTCTACAAAAGTGCGCAGCACCTGCCCAAGTACGGTAAGGGCCACCGGCTGGAAGATTCCGGGTGGAGATTCCTCCGGCTCTAGAGTGATATTGATATCCTTGCAGATTTCTTGAACCAGCTGCAAGGCCGAATCCAAATGTTTCGGTGGAGGTAGGTAAAGCAATTGGCGATTATTCGCCATTTGAAGGGATCTACTTGTAAAAGTAATGTCGGGCGACGCGTGTGAATGTGGCTTATCAACACCGAGCACATCAATAAACTCCTTATCCTGCATCTTTTCATTGTGTCCAATCAGCCGTTGGGATTGCTTGCCTATCCAGATGTTCAGCCGATTCCCTGAACTGAGACTACTAAAGGACGATAGTTGCGGCTGTGGCTCTCCTTTGAGTTGCGCTTGCACTCGCTGAGCCAGTTGATCTTCGGCGGCCAGTTTTTGTTTCCGTCTTTTTTCCACGCCGGATAAAAAAACTTTAAGAGGCGGTGTGTAACCATGGACCCTGGCGAACGCTACAATCTCCCGCAAGCTCCAATAGTGTTCCATCCCACTGGCATCCAGCTGCTGCAGATTGTGATGTTGCATCAAACAGCGACGCAGGAGACGTGCCCGCAAGTACTCAAAACACCGTTGCTTTAAAGCAGTTTGCTTTTGGAATTCCTCGAGGGTTATACATGTGAAAGGATACTCCTCCTTCTGATTAATAGCCGTAAGTGGCAGACGACGCAGCAGGAATTCCACTGCACTCCGCATGTTTTGGAATTCGACACTCTCAAAGATGTGCTCCAACCTTCTGGGTCTCCTCTGCAACGGTGTTTCCACAACTGGAGTAACAATATAGGATAGTATTTTGTTATCCTCCACCTCGCCGCTCATGTTAGCATACCCATGATCATGCTGAATACACAGTAATAGATGCCAGCGCGTTACTGAAGGCGGCTTTAGAAGACTCAATTGTGGCTTCAGCAACGATTGTTGTTTCGCAGCCTGCTTAATCTTCCGCTGCAAGGGATCAATTATGTACAGCTTTCCAGCTCTTTGGAACACAACATTCTTTTTGCCCTGATGATGTCCATTCCGCACAGGCTTTATAAGGGGCTGATCTGACAAGGATTCCTGCCATGCTTTCTGTGGCGAAGGCTCTGTGTTGTGCTTCACTGGGGAATACTCCAGACTTTTCTTTTCTAGAAAAGATTCCTGCCTTGGACTTCTGCCGTTTACTGGTAGATATACTACTGAAGGTCGAGAAGCGCTGACTGGATCCGCATTTAACCGAAGCTGAGACCTGGGAGGCGTCGATGGAACGGGTGCCTGCTTTCTGGGACTGTAACTTAACTTCAGAGGCTCCGAAACTAGCACAGTGGGTTCTATCTGCTCGATGTCGTCGCTCAGCTCAATTTTGTTAATCCCAGCAAACAGATTGTCATCTAATTCCTCCTTATTTTGTGTAATCGAGATGGTTCGTGGCTTGCACGACCCGACGGGGGATGGAAACGGTGCAGGTTCTAAAAGAGGTTCCGCAGCAATTGGAGGAGCAGCACTTGCAAGCGGCAGATTAGACGTAGGCGGAGATTTCACACTTTTCTGTTTTGTCAATGCCTGTTCTGTTCTTAGCCATATCTCCACAGTGGTCTCCGCACCCATCGTGTGCAGCCCACATCTTGTTTTATCCAACACCACTGTGTGCATCAATTGCACGGGCTTCTGTTGCAAGTAGTCTTGAAAGAACAGCTGGATACGCATGGGAAACTCACCCCATCCCCGACGGTTTAGCTGAAACGGAGGACGGTGCACGTCAACAATGTCGTTGGGTCGATAGGAATGATGCAGGTGAAAGCGAACCTAAAATGGAAAGAGAAATGTGTTTTCTAAGGGTAGTCTTTAGGATTTAAAAGGAATACCAACCTTTTTAATGTAATTTTCCAATGGTTGGGGTAGATCTTTGCCTTGTATGTAAACCAACCACTTGTAGATCAAGGCTTGACCACCGCTTGTTTCTTCTTGAGAACCTTCGCAAATGTACTTGGATGTGTTGCCAACTACAAAAATAAACTTGTTTTTGTTGTTTAGCCGAGAGGCATTAAGTTCCAGTTGTCTCTCATGGGCCTGCCGACTAGTGCATGGCTGCTCTTCATCCAGCTTAACGGGAATCGGAGTCCCTTGCTCTGGCTGCTTTTTTGAGTCCTTGGAGTGGTCGGTTACGATGCCCTGTTGCTTGATCTTTTGCTGTCGCCGCCTTTCAGCCCGACGATGTGCGGGATTCCTTAGTCGAATGGTTTGCTTGGCCAAGGTGGCAGCCGTGCGCTCTGGCAGATGATTTTGAATGGGAACCGGACGCTTGCCAACAATTTTCTTGATGGCCGGGTGCAGAGGCAACTGCGGCGCACCCTGATCGTCTCCAAAGAGGCTTTCACCGCGAACCTTCGCCACGTCGGCGGCTGTAAGGGGAACCTGTTGCTTCCGGTAATACTCGTTGACCACATGGTAGCGAAGCTTGTCCAACAACTGTCGTCCTTGTAGCAGTCGTCGGTCAATCTCGGCCAGCTGCTCCACCTTTTTGGTGATTTCGCGCTGGAACTCCAGACTGAGAAGCTCCCGGATGCGTTCAAATTTGTCAGGGAGAGCTGCCATCTTCTCCGCCGTTTGTTCCACTTTGGGCCGCTTCTTATGGATTGGCATGCTAGCCACCGTACTGGTTTCATCCTGATTCTGGGTGGAAACTTCCGTTTGGTGATAATCTGGATCGTGGTACTCGCTGTGTCTGCGCTTCTTTGGCGGCGTCGCCTGTTGCTGCTCCATGTGCGTGTTCGCGGGCTCACGCACAGGGCTCGTATCACGTAAGTTCGTCGGGGAACAGCTTCAAGTTAGGCCCGAACCGCTCCTTGGACATTTATGCCGGGGTTATTGGCTGTTATTTATAAAAATGTGTAAACAATTGATATGAACGATGCGGCGCTAAGTTAGGGCGTTGCCACATCGTGGGTGTAGATGCGTGCACGCTGACGTTTACTAACACTGGCTGTTCAGCTGTTTTTCTTTACGCGGGAAGCAACGACGCTTCGACGTAAATTCGGAAACATCAAATTAACGTAGTTAAACGAAAGCAAAATGGTCGAGCGCATCGAGGATCTCAATTTGCCAAATGCCGTAATAGCTCGGCTCATCAAGGAATCGTTGCCGGAGTCAGCAAGCGTCAGCAAGGAGGCACGAGCAGCGATCGCAAGGGCCGCATCTGTATTTGCCATTTTTGTGACTTCCTCTTCAACGGCTTTGGCTCACAAACAGAACCACAAAACCATAACAGCGAAGGACATCCTTCAGACCCTAACTGAGCTAGACTTCGAAAGCTTTGTGCCGTCGCTGACTGAGGACTTAGAGGTCTACCGAAAAATGGTCAAGGACAAAAAGGAGAGTAAGGCCAGCAAGAAGGACACGAGCACCTCGGAGAATCCCAACGCCAGTAGCACTGCAGCCGGCGAGGAAGCAAACGAGTGATCTCAAATGGTCCTAATAATATGGAACTGTTGGCCTCTTTAGCTCTTAATAACAAACTTAGTAATAAACGAAGTACAATAAATACAATCAGTATATGGGTATTTTATTCTGCGACTTTTCTGTTACTAAACAAAGTAGCGTTAATTCCAAGTTTGTTGCCATGTTTGTATGTATAAACTTTTAAATTTTAAGTTACCGAACAATGGCCAGAGGCGAAATAGAAGAAAATAAAGCCATTAAAAAGGTATACAAAACTATAGTAAGAATAATAAAACTCATTTAACAACAATATTTATGTGACCATAAAATCACTCATAAAAGTCACTACATTGGGAATCACTGACATTTTCGCAAATGGCATCTCTTTTAACAGCTGGTCAACAACAAACTGCGTCCTAAGCTCGTAGGAAATTTATTTTAAGTTTAATAAGATATTATTGTGCATGCTTATTAAAACAAATATTTATTAATGAGATGGGTGTTACGGGCCTGTGGAAGCTGATTGAGCCGTGTGGGAAACCAGTGCCTGTGGAGACATTGGAGGGTAAAATCTTGGCAGTGGGTAAGCATGGATTTCGCCGACTAATGAAATATTCTTGATTAGAGTGCTGTATATTTTCCAGATATATCTATATGGTTGCACCAGGTTGTAAAGGGCTTTCAGGACAACAAGGGATCGGCATTGAGTAATGCCCATTTACTAGGTTTGTTCCATCGGCTCTGTAAGTTACTATATTATCGTGTGCGGCCGGTTTTTATTTTCGATGGGTGCGTGCCACAACTTAAAAGGGATACCATTGTAAGTTTTAAAATAATTTGTACTAAGACAAACCTATAAATTGTATCCGTTTTTGGATCAAATTTCTAGGCCCGTCGTCAGCAGCAAAGGAATAAGCTCAGCAACGAAGCCGATCGTATTCAGGACCTGCTTCTGAAATCCCTGGCAAAGGAAAAAGTTGTTCAGCAGGCACTGGGAAAAAATGCAGAGTTACTGCTAAAGTCTCCGGCTAAGCGACCGCCACCAGCCAAGAAGAACGACGAGGATGACTTGTTTAAGCTGCCGGAACTCCCGGCAGCATCTGTGGAACAGGACAATCCCAGCGAAAGCGACAGGGATACCTCGGATAGCTCCTTTGATGAATCAACCGCTCGACATTCTTACAACTCTAGTTTGCAGGCCATTGATGTCAAAAGTCAGCACTTTCGCAATCTACCCGCCGACGTGCGACATGAGATATTAACAGACATAAAGGAGACGCGGAAGCAGTCTTCTTGGGGACGGCTGCATGAGTTGCCCGCCAAGAGTGATGACTTCTGTTCTTTTCAAATGAAGCGTCTTCTAAAACGTCGCGCCGTTCAGGAGAGCTTGGAACAGGCAGAACAGGAGATGGGTGGACATACACTAACATATTCGGAGTTGTGCAACTTCTTTAGCGAGGAGGGTATCGTAACGCCAACGGCCATAGAAGAGAGCACTCGACAGATCAGCTCGGATGAACACACACGATTCCTGCTGGTCAGGGATCTGAAGAAAAAGGCCTTGGAGAGCACCAAGCAGGAGGTAAAAATGGAGATGATTAAGGAGGAGCCTGCAGAAGAAGATGAAAAGCCAAGTACATCCACTAAGAAAGAGTCAAGTAATAGTACTGAACTAGGTACGGAGTTCGATGAGGATTTAGCAAAAGCATTGTCCATGTCAATGGAGGAGACCAAAGTGTACGATGAGAAGGACTATGAATACGATTCGGACCAAGAGTTACGCCTGAACCGGGCTCAGAGCAAGCAATTGCGGCATGCCGCCAAGGGACCAGCAAGGACATATATGATTGAATACGGCGGTATGAACGTCGAGGAGGTTGGCAACATCATGGAGACCACTCAGCTTAATGATACCCAAAGTCTAGAGAAGATGTTCGAAACCACCATATTTAAAACTGATATGGCAAACAATTCGATAGAGGAAGCCAAACTAATTTCACAAGCTATTGAGGAAAGCAAACAAATTTCCCAAGCGATTGAGGAAAGCAAAAACAATATAAATGAAGATAAAGTTGAAATTATAGATACAGATACTGACTCAGACTTGGAGGATGTTATGGAAGCTCCAGAGCCTGGTAAAGCTAAGGAGGGTCTTGAAATATGTGTTGATATCACTAAAAACTTAAAAGATTCTAATGATTTGTTCGCGGATATATTTGAGGAAGAGGATGCCAAGGATATGGGAAAAAGTGAAAGTGACGACGATGATGATTTTATAGAGGTTCAAGACAGTGAGGAAATCATGTTAGAGTCTAAGGAGGATGTTACATCAAAAACAACTGTAGATAATCAAGTAACTAATCAAATAAGAGAAAGTGATGATATTATCGAATTGAAAGACAGCCAGGAACTTACTCCCACTGAAGTTAAACCTAAACCTGATCTTGATTCCATATTAAACGATCTTAAAAGGGAAACCGCTGCAGTTAAAAATATTCATTTAAACTTAACAGAGGAAACAAAACCAAAGGTTGAACTCAGCTCTATATTAGACGATCTGAAAATGAAGATGGCCGAAGTTAAGAACATCAGTCTGGATCAAATTAAGCTTAACAATTCTGCAGCCATCGTATTATCCTCAGACGATGAATGGACATCGAAAGCGATGAAGGCAGCTCCAAAGGAAGAAGTAATTGAGTTGTGCGACAGCGACGACAATAAAAAGAATCGAATATCGCCAAATAAAACGCCCAGCAAAAACAAATCTATTAAGGACTTTTTTGAGACCAGTTACGTGGTAAAACGAACGCCTGATAAATCTCCATCGACGAATGAAACACCTCCTGGAACGCCAAAGACCCCTAAGCCTTTTTATAGAAAAAGAACACCAAGGTCTGGACGTAAAAGGGCTAATGATAGGGAGGACAATAGTGATGAGGAAGTTTCTCCCACGAAAAAATCCAGTAAGGCTTCGAAATCACTCTTCGAAGAAAAGCAGACGGAATATGAAAAAACTGTAGATCCTGAGGTAAGTCCTGTCTTTTTATGTATTTCGTTTGTATATCTTTACTTTTTATCGTATAGGAGTTAATAAGAGATGCGGCCGAATCCTTGAAATCGCAGAAGACCTCCGAAGAATTGCAGGAGATGGCCACCAACTTGGCTCAGGAACGCAAGGAACTAGAGATCGAGCGTAACCGACAGGACCGCATGGGCATGTCCATCAGCCAGCGCATGAGCATCGATTGCCAGGAGCTATTACGCCTTTTCGGCATCCCGTACATTGTGGCTCCGATGGAGGCGGAGGCGCAATGCGCCTTTCTCAATGCCACCGATCTTACCCACGGAACCATAACGGATGACAGTGATATCTGGCTGTTTGGTGGTCGAACCGTCTACAAGAACTTCTTTGCCCAAAATAAGCACGTGATGGAGTTTCGTGCAGAACAGATTGAGCAAACTTTCAACTGCAACAGGGGCAAACTGATTCAGTTGGCATGTTTGGTGGGCAGTGATTACACCACGGGTATTCATGGTATTGGCGCTGTGACAGCCTTAGAGATTTTGGCATCGTTTTCTGGACAGGATGCGAATGCCCAGGGTGTCTGCAACCAATCAGTGCTGCAAACATTAACGAAGTTTCGGGATTGGTGGCTGGCGCACAAAAGCAGTAATCTTCCTCCTGGAAGCTCGGCACGCCTTTCTCTTCGCAAGAAGTTAAAGAACATCGAACTGCATGAGGGATTCCCCAACGGGGCAGTAGTAGAGGCCTATTTAACGCCCACGATCGACGACAATCGAGATGCATTCAGCTGGGGCACCCCTGATGTGGAATCAATAAGGGAATTCGCGCGAAAGTCTTTTGGCTGGACTAATTCGAAAACAGATGATATTCTTATGCCCGTTATGAAGAAAATCAATGAAAAGAAAATTCAGGGTTCCATTCGTAACTACTTTACGACCAAGAGTGCTTTGCGAGTTCAGCAACCGCAGGTCAGCAAACGTGTCCAACTGGCTATTGATAAGATGACGGGGAAGATTAACGAAACGCCAGAGAAGCCAAGGAAGGTGACTCGCGGAAGACGCGCGAAGGTAGCTCCGGCAGCAGATGATGATGTAGCCAATGTGGATAATGTGGACACGGCAAAGACTTCTCGCCCCAAGCGTGGGAAACGAAAGGCTGCTACTGAAACAGCAGAAGCGGATTCGGAACAACCTTCAACATCACAGTCGGCACCAAAACCAGAAAAATGTCCACGAATTCCCAACACCGTAGAAATTATTCCTCAGAGGGAAAAAGACCTGGAACAGATGCACCTGAACAAGGCCAAAGCAGCAGAGATTTTAAAGAAATCAGCTAAAGCGAAGAAAAAATAAGCTTAATATTCTTAATAAATCAATTAAATGGAGCTTTATAAAAATCAAATTAAGTGGGATGGATGTTTTGGCTTTTAATGATATGCTTATGCTATAAGGGAGATGTGTATCAATTCACTAACAGATTTTAAGTATTTCGCAGAAACCTTGATAAAAACGTCAGTTTTATTTAGAGTTTATTACTGATCCGTGATTTTCTTTTTGCATGTGATACCTGCATAAAGGCTTACACATGGTCTTGAAACGAAATTATGGTCGACCTGCTTCTTTCCAATCGTCTTACATGAAGGGGCGCAAGTCTAAAGCGCCTCGAGGGCAACAACTCATAAGCAGACTTTTGATGGAAAATGACTCTTTTGAAAGGAAGATTTATAGGATGTCCCTGCATAAGTGCCGATTCTTGCTAGCTGAATCCATAACATTGCTGCGGCATCAAAATCAAAATCTGCATAAAATGAATCTAAATAATGCACGCAACGGCAGAGCGCTAAATATACTTTTGGGAAAATTGGAAAGTCATAAATCACACAGTCTATATCTCCAAAAATATTTCAAAAATTTATATAAAGAAATTTATGGCCTAGATTGCTTTAAAAAAGGGAAGATTTTGCAATCTCAACTGAAATTAATAAGAAGGTTAACTAAGGGCAATAGAAGTGAGGCTGAAAATTGTTTTAAATGGGCAGAAAATATAATTTTAAATTTCGGTTTGGGAGGGAAAAATGTACCAAAAGGACGAGTTCAGAAAAGGTCTTTTGAAAAACCCATCGTGAAATTTTTTAAAGCCATTAAAATTCACAAGAAAATCAATACAGAAGAGGATATTAATGGCATTAAAGAAATAAAACGATCACCTTATGAAATGACAAACAAAAGAAAATTCGGTATAACCTATCCAGAACTTGTGGGACAGGGAAGTAGTTTTGGTGATGTGACTAAATTACGAAAGAAGTTTGGTAAACGGATTATACCTAAAGAAGCTAATTATTTTGACTCAAGTGACTATTTAAAGGATCACAGAGGCTCCATTGACTTGTCAGAACCTAAAGTAGCTTTAAAAATCTTGAAAAATATGACAGTTAACATTGAAGAAAATGTTGAAAGAAATCTTAGGGAAACACCCTACGGCGAGCCGCAGAATATAAAAAGTAAGGAAAATATAAAGGAATTTGTTAATAAATTCAAAGGAGATCTTCAAGACAATTCACCAGAATTCCACATCAACCCAAAGAAATCTAAAATTAAAGAAAAAAAACATAAATTTTTAAATATATCCGAGAAGGAAAATCGTCGGTCTAATTTGACCAAATCTTATAATAATTTAATGAAACCTAAAATTACAGAAAATGCATATGTTAATAAATCGGAAGTAAATCCTAATGGACATTCCTCAGAATCCTCTATCAATCTAAAGAAACCTAAAACTAGGGAAAGTATGAATAAAATTAAAAATAAATCAGATCAAAATCTTCAAGGAAATTTAAGAGAAACGTTCAAAGTTATTCAAAAGAAATCTAAAATTAGTGAAAATATGAATAGATTTAAAAACAAAGACGAAAATCATGAAGTAAATTCGTCAGAATCCTATATTATTCCAAAGAAACCTAAAAATAAAGAAAATACGAAAAAATTTATAAATAAGTCTGAAGAAAATTTTCAAAAATATTCAACAGAATCTTATAACGACCAAACGAAACCTAAAATTAAGGAAAATCTGAATGAAATTGTATACAATTCAGAAGAAAAGGTCCTAGGAAATTTTACAGAAACATCTTCAGGAATCCATAAAAATAAATTAAAGGAGATTTCAGATAATGGTATAACCAATCAATTGAAAAGTATTTTATCCAAAAGCTCTGCTGGGTCAAAAAGCTTAACAGAAATGGGCTCCAGCAAGAAAATGTCTACCATTGACAAATCAAATAATCGATCTTTTACCTACGAAAACTTGAAATCCATTTACCATGCTTTTAGGTTTAAACCCAAGCGACAAAGTGATTTTAAAAGAAAACTACCAAATTTTAATCCTTCTAAAAGAGAGCTTCTAACTCAAAGAAACAGCAAGGATTATTTTTCCCAGTTTAATAAAAGACTGTCTACGGAATCCACTAAGAGCTTGGAAAAGAATAACGCACAGCAGCCAGCCATGTCAGCAATGGCCACTGCCATTATCAACGGTTTAAATGAAGAAAAGACAATAACTTTAGATGAATCAAAAAAGTTTGTTAATAATTTCGACGCTACAAGAATGTCTTCTAACAATTTTTTAGGAAAGATATCGATGATAAAGCCAGCGGATCAGATGAATGCTGTGTGGAGTGATTTGGTGGAGACGCATAAAGGATGGTCCGAAAATGCCAAAACTCCCGAGGATGCTGAAAAACTTAAAAAAATTCTCAAGTGGCGATATATTCACAATGTTCAAAAGCTGTTACACAATAATGTCAAGTGGCTCAAAATCGAGCAAACCGTTGGACGGCCAGAAGCAGGAACAAAAAAGCCCCAAATGGCTAATAAGAATATGAGATCCAGCTACCAGGTACCAAATACCTATGGCTCTTTTCCTCTTTTTAAAAAGCTATCTAACACAGGAGATTCCCAACTTAAGATTCTCCATGAATCCTTTATTCGAACGCAAATGGATATGTTAAGATCTAGGATATTTGACAAGGACGTAGAGCTAATGAATATCATGATCATGGGTAGGCAGGTGCCTGAAGATGGGAAAGATCTCGAGATCTTTAAGAAATATAAAACTGATCCTCAGCACTACAACATCCTAATACTATCACTTGGCAAACACATCTCTGATGAAAAATATGAGGAGAAGCTGCCAATCCTGGAGAGAAATTTTCAATACATTAGCCATCAAATGGAGGTGCTTTCAAGGGAAAAAAGGAAAAAGGACATGCAAATCAAAAACTATTTACAAAAGGCAGAGGAGGAATTATTTGCAAAATGTTCAGGTGAAAGCATCCACATTGATCCTCTAGACCTTAGTGAAGCATTTCTGGAACAAAGGCGGGAGATGTTGGCCACTTACATTGCCCAACAGGCCAAGACTCCTACAGAGATTCTTTTAGCCGCTGTCCGAAAACAAAAACGAAAGGCTCAGCTTGCCGCAAAAAAGGAAGAACGCGAGCAGCGTAGAAAACAGGAACAGCAATTTCTAAAAAACAGAAGACCGCTCAGCGCCCTGTACAAAGCTCCAAGGCAAACGCACCGCGAGCGACAAGCCATCAAGGATATCCAGGAGGAGTTGCAGGGCATGAAAACGAAATGCTCAGCCTCATCATTGTGTTGCCGACGGTGCAGCAAGTGCGGCTTGATCTGGACTCAGAAATGCTCTGAAGATTCCACCGATGGCATTGCAGATCACATCTGTTCAATAAAATAGTAGATTTCTTTGAAAAATGTAACCATTTTTTTTTGGTAAATGTTTATCCGGAATGTCATAGAAATCACTTTCTTCAAAGTAAATTTAAATCATTAGAAGGTTTAGGTAAGATAGAGGTATCACGACGGTCAGATACCCAGGACTCTGTTGAACAAATTATTATTAATTATGTTTATTAAATTACGCTATTCATTTGCGATTTGAAGTGTTTTATGTATTGACAAAAAAATAAGGAAACATGTTTAAATTCAAGGTTGGGGTGGAGCGGCTACTGAAATAAACTTCTGCTGCTCCCAACTTATAACTATTATATAAATAAATCCTTTAGAACCGGTTGAATTGGAAGACTCAATGTGAAGCTAATTAGATTACAATACAGAGTATATATAAGCGCATCTCATAGAACCCTTATTTAGTTTAAAAGGGAGATCCAAATGAAGTATTTGTGTAAGTACACAAACTTATGTTTCTAAAATATCAAATATTTTCAAATCCTTTCTTCTCAGGTTTGATATTTTTGGCCACGTCAGTGGCTGGACGATTTACTGATGACTTTTACCAACTCTTGGCAAAAGAAAATGCAGACAAGAATCTGATTTCATCGCCCCTTTCCGCTGAAATTAGCTTGGGCATGGTCTACATGGCAGCTGAGGGAAACACAGCCCAGGAAATGAGGGACGTTTTAAAATTGTCAGCGGACAAAAAGGAAGTGGCTGCCAAATACAAAGCATTTTTTACAAATCTCAAAGAACGAGAAAAAGTTGCCATCCTTGATCTGGCAAACCGCATATACGTAAGCAACTCTTACAAGCTAACTCCGGAATATAACCAAGTGGTTAAAGATTCCTTTAAGGCCGAAGCGGAGTCTATTAGCTTAAATAATGTCGAGCGTGCCGTTTCGATTATCAATGAGTGGGTTAATAATCAGACACACGGCAGGATCCAAGACATAGTTAACAGTGCTGATTTGTCGGATCTAGTAGTGTTACTTGTTAATGCAATTTACTTTAAAGGCCAGTGGCAATACGAATTTGATCCCAAAAATACCAAGAATGCCGATTTCCGAACTGCCAGCCAAGAACGCGTTCCTGTCCAGATGATGTCATTATCGGGCGGATTTAATGCGGAATACCAGAATTAGATGCCAAAGTGATCGAACTTCCGTACCGGAATTCGAGTCTGTCGATGGTCATCTTTTTGCCGGAGAAAGTTGATGGCCTACAAGAATTGGAGAAAAAGATCCCAGGATTCTCCCAGCCCCTAAAGAAAACTAATGTAAATTTAAGTCTTCCCAAGTTTAAAATCGAATTTTCTGCAAACCTAAATTTACTTCTCTCGACAGTGAGTATTTAGTATATATTGTAACTTAATCCTAACACTTATAAAAATAGATGGGCATACGAGATGCGTTCACGCCAGCTGCAGACTTAAGTGGGATGGTAACAGCAAAAGTTGGCTATATTGGCAAAGCGCTCCAAAAGGCCTTTATAGAAGTAAATGAGGAAGGTGCCGAGGCAGCTGCTGCAACAGGTAATTTGGTCGTTTTGTGATTGTTAATATTTGATACAAATAAATTTGTATAATCCGCAGTTGTAATAACACGATTCAAGTGTGGAAATTGCATGCGTCCATTCGAGTTTAATGCCGATCATCCGTTTGCCTACGTCATTCGCGATAAAAACACAATTTACTTTCAGGGCCACTTTGTAAGACCAGATCAATAAAGTACTTTATCTCGCACAATTGCGGATATGAATTTAAACTCAAATATAACCTGTCATGATGGGGAAATATAATTAAAAGACGAAGTCGCGACCAATAACCAATTTCAAAATAATCAATCGAATTGACTCCAAGTCAACTTTATCTGGAACCATTCGAAGGTAGCGTCTGTGCCGATGATAACCAAAATATGTTAATTGTGAAATAATTTTCCGTTTATCCCAACTTTCAATCTCTTATATTACCCGAATTCGTTTTAAGTTCATATGGCCAGATGGACATGATCAAGTTGACTTGAAAACGCTTCAAGTATTGGTATTCCAATGTTTAGTATAATAGAAATTATTAGTATCGTTTGTAAATTTGTAATACGATATACAGTTTAAAATATACACTTTATACTTATTAGGGCTTAATTTCTAAATGCCCAGACAGTAGAGGAAATTATCTCGACATCCCACGTAAATACGACGCATTCTTTCAATATAGCACGCACTGGAAAAAACTTCGCCAGGAAGTTTATCCGACCACTGAATCTCGCCATTTCTGAAGTTCATTAGGACGACACGTCCATCGGTTGCCCCGCACCAAACCAGAAGTCCATTTGGTTCCACGGTGAGAAGACTAGGTGTGGCATAAATGGATGCGCCTACATTGACCTTCCAGTGCAGCTCAAAGTCAACGGATTTTCCGCTCATGCCGGATTTGCATCGCAGGCAATAAACATGTTTATCAATGCAACCGAACACGACAAATGAATGCCCTATAAATGTCGGTGGAGTCTTGACCACCAGGGAGGAGAAGATGTTGCCTTCTGCGTTGTATGTGGCCAGCTAAAAATGTCAATTTAAATTGCTATTATCAGGGTTTAAATTAAGAATAGAAATCGATTACTTACAATTTTTCCGTTCCCCACATGACAAGCGTGGACTCGCCCTGCAACTTCAGCACTCAAAAAAATATTCGACTTTGATTCCAGAAGGACGGGTGTGGAAAATATGGGCTCCTTATACTTCTGCGTCCACTCCACCAAGCCATCGTTGATAGCCACACGCGAGTAGGTGCCGTCCAGAGTGCAGATGATAACCGATTGTTCGCTTGGCAGCTCTAGAGAGCCGGCGAATATCGGTTTCTGACCGATCCTCAGGCACCAAAGAACTTCTTGCAATTCGGCGGATAAGCAATATACATTATAGTCCTCTGCATAGCAGCAGATTATAATTCGACGACCATCCGCGGTTAGCAAGGGTTGGGACTTAATCATTCCCCCAATCTCTACGCAAAACACAATGTCACCAGTTTGGGGATTAAATCCGTAAAGGCAACCGTCATAGCAGCCAACCATAGCCAGTTTCTCGCTCAGAAACGTCACCTTACACTCGATTCGGTTTGGTAGCCTGACAGTGCTAAGCTCGCTACCAGTCTGCGGATCTAAAGTTCGTAAAATTTTGGAATGTGCGCCAACGCAAATGTAGCGTCCCTCGTATTCGGTCACTGGCGAGTCAACGCATTTTTCAAAGTCTACTTTCCAGTGGAATTGAAGCTTGAGTACAGGCTGTTCAATTCTTTTGATTACGAGGCCAGCAGGGCAGGAGCTAACTACTGCCGGCTCAACTAGTTTTCGCTTGACATTAGTGGCCACCAACTTGGCAGTGTCCAAGAATCTGAAAACTGTGCGCAACGGAATGTTCTCGTCTAGCAGCATCTCAAATAAGTGTCGCTGTTCATCATCAATGCACATTTGCAGCCCTATCTCCCGGCAAATGGTGATGGCATGAAAAGATGTGCCACCAGCCTGCCGAAAGCTCAAGTCGTAGCCAGAGGGCTCGCTATCATCCAAACGCTGCCTCTTTGCCGATTTATTTTCAGAGTCTTCTACACATTCCAGCCTATCGTGCAGATAACTTTTCAATATTTGTTGAGCTGGCTGAGCGAGGGGGATGCACATCTTGAGCAGTAGTTGCTTGTCTAATTTGCCATGTATATTGCAAGGGAAGTTTTGCAGATAAACAAATCTATCTGGTTGCTCTGCAATTGATACCTTGGAAAGTATATCAAAGGTCTGGGCTCGCTGTTGAACTTTAGTTTTTGGCTCCAATGTGCGAATACAGCAGATAAGCTTCTGCAAATCTTCGAGCCACAGGCACGTGGTAAGTTCGCTGCTGTGCAGACATTTTTGTATTTTTCGAGTGATTAAACCTGTATTTTAGCATATAATTGTAGTTGAAAACATTGATTTCAGCTAATAGAAAAACTCACCCAAGCTAATGCGATTACCAGCTCTTTTTACCACATCGTTTGACCTCTCCTCATAAAATATTGCTCCGTTCTGATGTCGGGTGACTAAATCCCCCGTCGCTCTAAACAATATGCCGGAATCATTTTTTGAAGTTTCCGCTGCGTCATCTATTTCTGGAATGTAGCAAAGCCGCGATGTACTGCCCAGAAAAAGCTCTCCTTTCTGGATTTCGCCATCATTTTGACATTGAATTCGTAAAACCATATCATCTTCAATTGGCATACCCAAAGGCACAGGGGTTTGTAGTGAGTGGACAATGTGCAAGAGACTCCAACAGGATAACTCTGTGATTCCATAAACGTTGCAAATATGTTTTTGCAAAAGGACATTGTGATCCATCCAAGTAACCAGCTCAGCATTGGAGGGAAACGGTTCACCGCCAAGGAGAAGGACTCTGTACTTGATTTATGTAAATATAAAACAGCATGTGTTAAGGAGTTATTATGAAAACCAACCTTAGTGAACTGGATCTGTTCAACACTCGCTCTTTGATTGAAGTGGCTCCAAATTGCCGGAACAGCGAAGGAGTCATCTGCAGGATTGTGATTCCCGGCGTAGACAAATTGTCGGGAAAGAGGGCACTTAGCACCTTGCTAGGGGACTCCTTCATAGAGTGGCGGCTGGTTAGTAAAGTAGCTCCATTCTGCAGAGCTAGAAAAAATTCCACCACGAAGGGATCGAAGGTGCAGGGTGTGCCTAGATAAATGATGTCGGCCATGGAAACGTTTAGCTTCTGACTTGGAGGATATAATAGTAAGTTTGTGTATTGGTGCATTGCATGAACACTTACCTAAGCGCTAATATGTTGGGGGCGATACATTCGTAAGGCACATGTATGACCTTGGGTTTTCCTGTGCTTCCCGTTGTGGTGATGGTGTAGCACATATTGGCGGGCAGGGGCTTCTTGGCCTTTACAGCAGAATCGGTAACTTTGTGCTTCACCTTGTAAAGCTTGCAGTCCTCATCCAACACTAAAATGGTGCTCAGACGCAAAAAGTTTAGAGATCCAACTGCCAAATGCTTGTTGACGAAAAGATAATCCACTCCAGCTGCGCCCATCTGTTCGTATAGCTCCTGGGAGAGCAGCATCTTATCCGTTGGAAAGAAGTGGCACTTGTGGTTGAGTATCCTATGTGTTAAGCATTAGAATCTAATATTTCGTTTTTTAAGCATCCATACGCTAGAATAAGAAGACTAGAGGCCGGCGTGTGCTCCGTGATTCGGAGGGCAATTCCCGCTCCGGCTGGAACATTGTTGCTTTGCAACATATTCAGTAATATCTGTACTTGTTCTACAGCCCTGTCATACGTTAAAGTCATGTCCTGGGGCTCCATGCGCCTGATGAGAAAGGGAACATCCTTGAATAATCGAAGCCTGTTGATGTCGTAAAGTTTTGCCTGATTTTCTAAAGTTGATTCTTTTGAGCCCTTATCTAAAGAACTCATGATTTCCGAATTCTGGCTGGTACGGTGGTCTTCTGGCGGTGAATCTGCCGCCAATTTGGAACTTGTCCCATCAGTTTCCATTTCATATGCAACTTGTTTACAAAACAAACCGAATGTTATTGTTTTGTTCTGTCGTGCAGTATTAGTGGTGGCAATACGGTTCTATCTCGATCGATATATCGATAATCTTAAATACCGATTTAATTTCAATTTTAGAAATTCACGGTCATTTACACTAAACTAGCAATTTTAAAATTCTGAATATTCATTTGCATTGCATCTGTTATATAGATCCCTGTTTAACATCTCATTTTATAAATTTCTCAAACCTTACACTAAGAATAGAATCCCCAAAAATATTTTTAATTTTTAAAATCCATTGTTCATTTCATTATTCAAATATATAAATCTATATTTAATTCGCATAAAGCTAAACATCTAACAAATTTGGTTTGTTTGTAAAAATATTTTTTGTTGGTTTTTCTCTTTGCCAAAAAAAAGCTCAAGGCATTAACATGCAAGTACTGGAGGTAAAACAGTTAATATTATTCAAAAATGTAATGTAGCTTACTTAATACTAGACAAATGTTTCCGAGCCCCTCAAATATCTGCTTTCCGTTTCTTTTGATTTCTGTCATTCACGCTATATCTATATATACAGACATATCTTGTAGATCGAATATAAATTAAATCCTCAAGCAGGAACTTCTGTGTATATCTGGGTGTAATTTTCGTGTAACCTGAGTTATATCGTAACCTATATAGTTTTATGCCTGCTTTTTCGAGCTCAAGGCTAGGCCTTCTTTACTCAGCTTCGTGTACTCCGTCTGCATAATGGACTGGCACTCGTCGATTAGCTGCTGTACGTCCTCCTTCGCGTACTTCTCGGTGGGAACCTCTGGAAGGATGTGAATTAGGGCGTGACCAGGACGAAAGGTTTTCTTCTCATCGTCCATAAAGGAGTACTTTGATATGACCACCGGCTGGATAGGACTCTTGCCCTGGAGTGCAATGTGGAACGATCCCTTCTTGAAGGGCAGTAGCGATTCCTTGGAGTTGCGTGTGCCCTCAGGAAAGAGCAGCAGTTTACAGTTGCGTTCCTGTATCGCCTTGGCTTCTTTCTGCAGTGAGTTGATCGAGTCAGTCTTGCGGGACCGATTGATATAAAGGGTTCCCCACAGCCATGCCCCAATGCCAAAGAACGGGATATACAGAACTTCCTTCTTGGACACAACTGTTGCTCTACCAATCACTGGCCACAAGTAGGCCAGAACGCAAAGATCAACAGCACTCTGGTGGTTCATTATCACCACTGCGCCGTGGTCCTTACGGACGTTCTCTAGACCCCGAACCTCCATTGTAATGCCCATTAAGCGGCACAGTTGCCGGAAGCACCAAGCCGGGAAACTAAAAAAAAATTTAATCAGGTTTTTTTTATCAGTTGAGTACTTCAATAAAATAAAATATTTACTTACAGCGCATTTCGATAGTCTCTAGGTCGAAGGATCATAAACGGAACACAAACCAGGACTATAGCACCCGCCCCAAAGAATATAAAGACCATGCGCATCTGATAGGGAGCTTTGGCCGTAGCACTCAAAATTAGGGCCACCACGCAGGCAAGGCCAATTACTTCGCATGTGCAAGCCATTTTAATACGCTCCTTGATCTCGAAGGTCCTTTTTCTGAAATACGTTTGAATTATATTTTAACAACTTTTTAAAAACTTAGTTTAAAATATATGTGTTTGGTACTAGACAATCTAATGCTTAGTTTTCTATTACTTGGTACCTTGAAATCTTTTGTTTTACATATTTTTTTTTTAATTTTCTGGTTTTAACATAAAACGTTTTCTTCTATTGACACTAGCTTTTTACTTCATTAATTGATTAGGAATTGATTTTCATTATTAAATTTGAATATGGAAATGTGGCTTGGGATTACTACTGATTGTACGATAAGATGCACTGTGGCAATTATTTCCAATTCTCCCCAATTTGCATGCTGTCTTGATTGGTCAATAAACTATCATGTGCTGTGTTTCTAAGCCCTATACTTAAGTATAAACTATTAAAGCCCATTCAACGTGGGCACTTGAAATGATAAAAAAAAATATTTTCACTCCAAGTGGGTTCAGTTCTATGCTCTATTGGCAGCACTTCTAGATTTCTTAAGATCGTTTATAAATTCATGAGCTACCTCTGGTAACGAACTTTTTAAAGACCTTAACAAGGTCGGCACACGTCCGATTCGGCTGATTGGACAAATAAAACTGGAAAGTACCATGCCGTGTGGGACCGTTTAAACTGGGAATTGCGAAAGGCTTATCAAAATGTTTCCAATTGTTTTTTTTTTGGATTAACGCACTGAACTTTGATATCTCGCTGATACATTTTATTTTAGCTAAACGTAACTTTCTTAATCAGCTTTGGTAAAAACATGACGAATAGTACAAAGATACGGGAGATCAGAATAGTAATCAGCTGCTGGCTAAATGCTTTAAGTGGTTAACAAAGGAGGTATGTACTTCTACCTAAAGATTACTGTTGGTTTAGGGTATATGTGGTAATCTTTTTATAGCTACAACACGTAGTTTACACTTTGACAGCTTTTTTTATTTATGAAAGCCCACAATCGACATAATCAAAAGATTACAAGAAATAATACTTATGCTGGACTAATCTAAACATTAGAAGAAGCCAAGAATCCAAGTACTTGGGTACAAGCAAACCCAATTCGCTTTGAGGATAAAGAGTTCTGTGCTACAATATTCATTTTCAAACTTTTGAATGAGTGAATAAAAGTGAACTCATTAATTATATCACAACTGAGATAGTGGTGGAACTCACAGCTCAACTCTGACTTTGACATACGGGTCATCTATAGGGACAAATTTAGTCCACACCCTATTAGTCGTGTAATTACTCACAAAAAGTTGTGTATATTATTCAACATTTGACACATTTGCCCTGTTGTCAAGGGTACTTCAAAAAATAGAAGACTACTCGAGATTAGCACATGTTTTGTTCAAAATTCATCACATGATCCTTTTATCTTTATGACCACATCATCTCAATATTAAATTCAGCTCCTAAACACTAGGGCTATAATCAGAATACTAGCCAATTCTCAATTGTTTTGTCGAACTGGAAGTTACTGTTTATGACCTGAGCTTGTAAATTATTCACGAAACGACTTCTAATGTTGGCTATAGCAATTATGGCTATTATAATTATCGTTACAGATACAACTTTCGGCAGTTGAAGCTCTGAACTGATGTCAAAATGTTGATACTGAAGTGACCTTTTGGGAAGTAATTACGTGTTGAATGGGCACTTTAGTTTAATCAAGCGCCGAGATCGGATGGTAATGGCATTAGCTACCTTGGATTTTCATTGATTTTTGTCTGAGCATGTACGAAAATTTTTGCAAATGACACATTTCTTTTAACACCATATTGTGACGGCAAACTTTGTATGTAATTAGAAGAACGATAAAGGTTCTCGATATTGCGGCATTGTAATGGGTCATAAATGGCTTTTGTATGTTAATAATTCTGCAGGCTTCGCTATAATATTTCAAAGGATTTATCGTTAATTATACCCGTGTGTTTTAATAATTTTCGAGAAGGGAATGACATTGGGTTTCTAAGAAATACTTTTATAAATATTTTCTTTAAGAATAAACAGAAAACTGTCGTTAAACAGGCATAATTTTCACATTTCTTGATAAGTGTTTTGTATTTGTTTTGTTTATATTGTAAGTAACAAGAATTATTTATTTGATTAATAAGAATACAAACTATTTATCGCTGTTATTAAAGGGTAATTGAAAAGTGATACTATTAGCCAAAAGTAGATATTTTATTTCCTAGAACCCATTAGATAGTCCACCCCCAACGTATTGAAATTACTATAAATCATACAAAAATGTAAAGAAAATTACATATTTGATTTAACAGCTTGCTTGTGAGTAGAATGCAAATTAAGAAATTTTACAAAAGTAATATGCACACTCCTAACATATATCTTAAAATAACATTCTTTCAGTGTGCTGAAATCAATTTGTGAACGGCAAATGTTTGCCTTTTTGTTTACGATTTCCACCGGCACCGCCCGTTTCCACCTACATACATATACAGCGAAGGGGGTATATGGTTTGACTTTTATTATCTTTTTGACAATCGCAGCAAAGCTTTTGGTGTGCGACAGCGGAACATCGATTCATAAAGCTAGCATAAGGCTCAGTTTACCGATAAGATAGTGGCATGATTCCACGCTGGAAAATGATAGGCATTATTTCATTACAACGATCGTACGCATGTGACGGGAAAACAGAATAACTAGAAAAGTCCAGACTCATGTCTGGATCTCCCCTGCAGCCTCAATTTGCCAGCCAATTTAGCGTCAGCGCTTTCAGTCAAGTTCAAAGTCAACGAGTGCACAGACTTATGCCAGCGGAGGGAGAATCTAAAACTAGACCCAACCTGAGTCATGGCACCGATTCATTTGATCTGCTGATTGGACTTTCCTCATCGAATGATCATGTCCCACACTTAATTGCCGAGTGGAATATTTAGCACAGTAATCTTTCTATTGTTTTTCAATAATATACAAAAACTTGAATCAGTTTTTATGTGCCTGGCTATATTTAAAGTAATTGTATACAGGTGTAAGCACTATATTAAATAGCCTCGTAGGCTAGACACTATGTCGAATAGCATCGCATGGTGATGTTATTTATTGATTTGGCAGGGTGATATCATCCCTTTTAAGGGGACTCCAATAAGACCACTAAAAAATAAATCCATTTCTTTTGGAGATACAGATAAGAAAATACAGTCCAGGTAATTATTCATAATTTAGCTGTACGTCTTTGTTTTTGATACTAGTACAACACACATTTTTAATCAACTGTTAAAGAGGTTAATATAAGTAATGTACTGTCTACACTTTTGTGACATTATAAATTCTCTTTTTCTTCTTTAAGGTCGTAAATTATTAACGCACAAAATCATTATTTCACACGACAGGGCAACTGTGAAAAGTGAGGGATCCCAGTTACTCAAAATCAACAGGGACCAAGCGGCCAAAAAAAAATAAAACTCATGGGAGTTAAAGAGCGTCAAGGCAAAGCCTCGGTCTAAAAGGCAGCGGTGTCAACAGGATAACGGGAACACAGAAAAAAATATAATATATTAAATGGATAGATGTTAAATAATTATATATTTATTTTAAAAAAATTATAAATGTATATTGTTACATCTTTCAAATGCCTTTTAATTTGACAAAAATCATAAAACTGTCCTGCAAGACATACAAAGTGAATAATTATAATTTCGATGTTATGCAATAAATATATACATATGCGATTAAATAAATCAACTACAAAATGTCTGCATGTAACTGATCCTAAATTATTCCCCTTTCAGTAAAAAAAACAAAAAAAATATTTCGTGATCAATTGATTAATTCCTTAGAGCTGATTTCAAACTATCTAATCATATCACATAACATTTTTCTTTCAGTACATTGAGAAAGAGAGTAATAAATGTACACGGGGTTGCTGTTGTTTGTATTCCTCCAGGAATAACACATAAACCGCATGGGAGAGAAAAGGAGAGGGAAGCAGAGCTGTAGGAGAAGGAACAGGAGCATAATAAAGACAAAATGTACATGGGGGACAAAAACACTAACAACAACTTAAATAGTACAAACTCACGAAACAGTTATTTCCCCTTTTGGGTGGAAAATTGTTTCTGCTCGACTGCTAATTCCTCTCTGTTATTGTTGTTGTTTCTGCTGCTGCTGCGTAGGCGTAACAGTTGTTTTGCCGATGTGTAAGTGTGCGTTTCAGTGTAATTTGCAGCATCTGCGGTGCAATCAATTCCAATAACGTTAACGCGACCAATTGCAATTAAACAAAAGCCACACTGCAATTATACAATAGAATTAATCCCGATCCGCCGAAGGATTGTTCCCGAGTTCACAAAGATTTCTAAACAATTTCCACTTTCGCCGAAAGAGTGCCGGCACTCAAATAAACGTCAGCTTTAATCAAGAGACCGCGGGCAATTGAAAAAGCTTTTGCCTCGCATGTTCGCCGCGTTTCCGTTTAACCTGTATGTAGTGATGGAGCTAGGTACCTATTTTCACAGTACTTCATCTGTTACGGTACGTAAAAAAACTATTACTTAACTAAAAATGTTCAATTACTAATGTCAAAATATTGAAGCTATTGCGTTTTACTTATTACCGTGTTAGGTAACAAAATTTTCATCCCTGAGGAAGAATATAATTTGCGTCTTAATTGTTGGAAAGGCATTTACATTGTTACATTTTTAAAAATATGAACCTAACCGGATTCATTTATATTTGAATAATTTAAGTTGACAAGCTTATACAAAATATAAATTATTTTTATAATGGTTTATAAAGTCCACTAACGGGCTCAATGTGTACTACTCATAAATTTTTAGTAAGAAAACCACTGTGCCTAAGAAATCGATAGGTCCTGACAATGAACACTGAGGTATATCGATATTATCGCGCATGGGTCGGTCCAGCTCTAATGCAAAACGCGTTTTTTTCTCGCGAAGCGGCTTTTTGCAAATTTATGTTGAAGTAAATAGTTTCTACTCGACATAATGTATATATCGGAGCCCGACGTTGTTCAGGATCGGGCTGAGATCACCTGCCGTTTGTGCCATCGTGAGACGGAACCCAACTCGCTTAACATTTTTGAGAGCTCGGCGGAGTACTGTAAGGACGTGTCCATTGCCGAGATTTCCCAGGGTCTGTGGAGCGTTCAGGTAAGAGTCCTTAAAATTCATTAAGCGGTTCCAATAGTAACTCCTGCTCTTGTAGTATGAACGCCATGAGTTTTTGTCGGAGCTCATATGCCCAGAATGTCTGGATATCCTGGAAGATGCCTTTGAGCAACGAAGAGGCATGCAGGAGCGGGAAAAGACGCTACAGGAACAGCTTAAGGTCCTGATTAAGGATGATGCGAAATACCGACCCGGACTAAATGGTAATCCCGGGGAATTTGAGCCTGAGGAGGGCTGCGACATCGTAGACGTCGACCCGGAAAAGCTGGCGGAGAGCAGTGAAGATGAGTTCGCACTTGGCTCCGATGGGGAATACGAAAACTATGACGATGATGATGAGGAGGAAGAGGAAGAATTCGATGAGGATGACGAGGAAGATGCTCAGAATGGAGAGGATGTTGACATGCCGTTGGGAATGGATGCGGCTCAAATGGCGGCTCAAAAATCCATTGCATCTGATACAAGCTCCTCAACGGCACGGCCTAAGCGTGCTTTCCTCTGTCAGTACTGTGATCTGGGCTTCACTCTTCCTTCCGATTGTCAGGAGCATGAGCGAAGTGCTCACGATCCAAACGCACCGTACTGCTGCACCTTCTGCAACCTCGCGATGGTTACCCGTCCCGCCTTGATTTCGCACATAAAAATACTGCACGATCCAGATCGCCCGTATGTATGCGCCCAATGTCGAAAGGGATTCGTTCGTCGCTCCGATCTCAAGAAGCACACAATAGTACATACGGGCGTGAGACCCTACACCTGCAACGTGTGCTCCAAAAGCTTTTCGAGAAACACCAATCTGACCAAGCACCTTCGCATTCACAGCGGTGTTAAGCCGTTTGTTTGCCAGCAATGCCCGCGATCCTTCCAGACGGCAGTGGAAATGATGAGGCACTCACGTTCCCATGGCGATGCAAAGGCCTTTCAATGTACCCGCTGCCCTTGCTCGTTCACTCGCAAGGATAAATTGGTGGCCCACCAGCAAGTGCACACCAGGCGAGGAGTGGACCAGCAGCAGCAGCAGCAAATGGGATTGCTTCCCCCATTGGAGGGCGAACTGTCGGTCCAGCAGCAGCATGCAGTTCAGGTGAAGCAAAAGACACCGGCACAATCCAAAAACTCGCGAAATTACCGGTGCGATGTGTGTGATCGGGCCTTCCAGCGGGAGCGCGACCTGCAACGACATCGAGCGCTCCACATGGACTCGCTGTTTGCATGCAAAATATTGCAATCAAGGCTTTAACCGCCGAGAACAACTGCATCGCCATGAACTAGAGGCCCATGGACCCAGTTTTACGTGTGCGATCTGCTGCATCAGTTTCCTGCATCAGATTGAGCTGGAGAATCACTTGAAGGTCCATCAGTTGCAGCACAAGATGGCGCAGCGGGCTCAGGAGGCATCTGTTTTGCCTCTGAAAATTACCGAGCAGGCTCCAGTAGCTATGATGCCGCCGATTGTGAAGGAACCCCCGCCAATGCGTCCCTCGGCCTCTGAACTATCTTTCTATAGCAACATGATTCCTACCATGAATCTGGGCTTCTATAGCGAGACTCGTCCCGAGGAGTAGAATTATGTACAAACACTATTTTTAGTATGTAGGTGAAAAAAGTTTTAAAATTCATTGCTGTTTTAGGTGTTAAGATTAAAGATTCTACAGATACTAACGGGTTCTAAATTTAAGTCTCCAGCCTAATATTTGCCAAAATCTTAGCTTAGCGGTTTCTTAATAAACGGTTACCTACGTATTTACAAAAAAAAAAGATGGGAAATTAATTAGAGTTTCAGAAATGTCGTTTATTTAAGTACATTTAAAATTTTCAAACCCAACCATTTTCCTTAAAGCGTTTAAATGATCTATTTAAGAAGCGATAGTTAAGTGAATATAATAATTGATAAGAAAACTTTTTAACAATTTTTAAAAACCACTATGTAGCAGGCCAGGCCAACAAGTTGCATGCAACAAGTTGCAAGTGGCCCGAGCCGAAGACAAACATCTCCGAAAGCTTTGGAGCTACTGCAACGCTGCAGATTGTTTCTCGAGGTCGCCTCGTACGGTAGTCACACAGCCTGCGCTCGCAACTCGATCGCCTGGAGATCTCGATCTCGTAATCTTCTCGAAGTGCGCGCTGTGAATTGTGCTGGTGCTGACAGTGTAACGCTTGATAGAATAATAAATAATAAGAATAAGTGGGGGAGATCCACAGAGAAATGTGGCCAAGCTGCCATAAATAAAGTGCGGATTTCAAACGAGACGATAAATCTATTCCCGAAACGGGCACGCAATCGAGGGAATTCGAATTCACCTTACGGTTCGTTTGGGCCTTGGACTTGGATTTGGATTTGGATAGGTTCAGGTTCCGCTGAGAGCGGTAAGTACGCAATTACCTTGGCATCGGGAAGGGTCACTTCGCTGGCGATTTATGTATGTATGGTTTGTCGGCTCTGGCCTGGGGTCTTAGGTGTTTAGGTGTTGGCGTTCCCGCTGGGCGCCCTCGGTTTCCATTCTTCTGCCCATCGTCGTTCTGGTTGTACTCATCCCCAGCCATGACAAATGAACATGTAGCCGGGGCATGATCCGCGGTCCGCGCAGCTTTTCTTTGATTGAAATGAAATAACCACAAGGTTGGGGGATCAAGGAATGGTCAAGGCTCGGCAGCTTGCATGATTCGAGTAGCAACTTTTGTCATTCCCAAAAAGATAAGGGACACGAGAGGCACTAGCACATAAAAGACAGCTCCCAGTTCCCAGACATAGAATCCTTCGTGTCGTTGGTTTTTTGTCCATTTAAAACTTGAAGAATGTAAGTGGTTCTTTTATATATAGTTATTGATTACTGGTTATATAAATTTTTTAAAAGAAGTTTGGAGAAAAAAAAGGAAGTTGATTTATAAATTCGAAATCAGAGACCATTGGCATAATGACTTTATTTTTGTTCATCATTATAACCCCTAAAGAATTAGTTAACCATAAACTAATAAAGAAGTAAAACCTCTCGATTCTTGACAGCTTTCATTAGAATCTTTGAAGCCGTCGATAAATAAGCTACCGCAGTGAAATTTACTCGTTATTTTCCTTTATTGCGTGTCTGGGCTGCACGAGATTCAGTGGAACCACCTGTGGTGCGAAAGTGCTGGGATTGTGGATCCGCGAACAGTTGCGAAAACAATTTAATTTCTGCGGATGCAAAGGGTTAAGTCTTAACCATTTCGATAAGCTGGAGGGCGCAAGTTTCTTCTTCCTGGGAAGATTAATGAGCCCCAGTTTGATGGAAAACTTATTCCTAGCACGCACCGCAAACTGAGTTAGAATATTCTGCAGGAATAGTGTTTTACAAGCCTCGAGCTATGAATTCTTTAGTTATTGTACAGCAGCCCACGCAACAACTTAATTACGGCTATTTACACGCTCTCAGAACAGCCCATTGAAAACATAACTCACAAGATCTGGATGATGTATTCAAAAGACAATATAAAAAATTACAATAAAAAAGTATGAGTATAATGAACACTAACATATTTCTATACCTGCATACTAATATTTCATCTTTTTTAAATTCCTTCTCCTGTAATCAATTAACTCTCCCAGAATCATTCAACCAAACCCAAGAAGATCCAATGTTAGATAATTTAGCATTGTATTTGGTGTGGATCTCAGGTCTTCTCCATCTTACATTATTCTCAGGCTGTCAGGTTGGGCCCTTTAGCTCCATCCCAGGAAAGACCTTATCGCAAATATTGCGGTGGGGCATCATCTCACCCATGCCACATTGTGCATCGTGTATTGCAAATCGTCGTCTGCCGATGGAATGATGGGAAAACGTACGACTATACGAATGCATCAATGTCAGCCAGGCAGACGACACTTTTACATCTGTCACTCGAGCGGAATGCTTCCTCCTCGTCTCCTTGCCACCAGCTAATCTCTCATAAGTATTTTATACAGTTTCTCTTAAAAGTATTCCACTGGTGAGAGACACACGTTTTCGTTTCACATCCGTTTTGGGTTGATTTTGATCAGATGCAATTCAATTTACAATTCACTTTCTTCGCAGACAATGCAATCCAGCAAATAATGCATGTATGTACGACTGTGAGTATAACGTTCCACTTGGCTGACAGGCGGTGTTAGACCTCCGGTTTTTCATCATCTTCAGCCGTTTCGTTGTCGTCATCCGCTTACTGTATCATAAACATTTATGCCAATTTTTTGCCATTATATCCTCGTAAAGGGTGTTTTACTTCGTTGGATCGTTTGAGCAAGTTTTTATCTATAAGGCTGATTTTCAGGAGTATCTTAGAGTATTTTAAAGTTATCACTTCAGGAAAATCAGGACCTAACAAGCTATAATAACAGTTATTTGAATCTTTTATTGCACATTACTGGTAGCTTTGTTAAGGCCTATTGCGATTGTTATTATGAAATGGGCATTGAGGATTTTATTAAGGAAGGCCAGCTGGGATTTCTAATTATTTTGTTTTCCCATTTGACTTATTATTGAGTGGCTTAGTGTTTACATTTTTATATCGTTTGTTTACAAAACAAAATCAATATAACATATATCTCTTCATTTATATAAAATGACCCATTAAAATTATTACGATCTCCATTTCTTAGGTGCTCCCAAATTCGAGCAGAATCCTTGTGTTTTCCTACTCGTTTTCGCTGGATGTCGCGATGAGGTTGCCGCCAAAAACCAGTTCCTTGGCTCCCTGTCCTCGGCGATCTCTTGAGGTATTTGTTTGGCACGACATTTGCTTCTTGGCTGGCCTGATGTTGTGTTGTTGGCCTGTCTGAATGGCAGTCAGTTGCCCGCCTCCGATTTTTCCATGGTGGCGATTCTGGTGACGATGGCTATGACGTCGTCTGCAGCGTCTCATCCCATCCACATCCCAACCCCTTCAGTCCTCGAGTGACTTCATGTCGTCACGCAAACTTTAATTCGTTCATTAATTCAGCCGGCAAACGGTTAGCCGGTCCGGTGGGCGTGGAAGTAGCTGGAAGTGTTAATTAGTTGTTAGTGTCTCCGCCTGCCCGTCGAGGATATATATATATTTAATGAGCGCCCCTGGAACTGCAATGTCAATCGTGAGTGCCTCTGCTTAGTGCCCAGCCAACTGCTTATTAATCTACCCCCAGATAGGAACAATATTTATTGCCCAGCAGCAAATGGAGTTTGAAGATTTGTCAATATTTGATATTGGCTTCTGAATGTTGGGATCATGAACGGGAAAAACTTTCAGTATTGCTGTAAAATTGCGTAATATTTTATAAAACTCAGAGGTCTTGGATACAGATAGATCGATTCCCTAAGCAAAGTAACAAGATTTATAAACAGTATGTAACTGGAAGGGTATAGAACCTGCGAAGTCTTGATAAATTTTCGAATTGATCCCCTTTTCAGCATTCGGATTATATATTTTTAGCCGCAGTTCATGCCAGATGATTTCCATAATTGTGTAAATTGCCCGATCCGTGGCTTTGGTGTGTCGAATCCGAATCAGCATTTCCACTTTTGAGAAATTCCTGTTGTCTGCGAGGAACAGTCACAAATTAGTGGCCCAGGAACTGGGCATACCAATCCAGCGGAGGCCAATCGCAGAACCCTTGCGAATAAATTCCGACAAGCAATTTTGACCCAGGTTCGGCGATCGACTGCAAGATGTTCAGGTGATGCGAGGTTAGGTCCAATCTCGGGATTGGACCCCGAAGCGGCAGTTACTCCAGTACAGAATCCCCTTCATCTGTATCCGTTGTGGGTGTGCGCAGCTGTGTGTGCTGTCAACTATCCGCTGATCCATACCCACTCTGCCCATGCGGAAATAGTGGCCAAGGGTGTGCAATTGCTTTGGCCATAGCCATAGTTCTCTGGCTCCATAGCCATGGACATGGCCATGGCAATTGCGATTGCATTTTCTTTATCGCATCCTGCACAAATTACAAAAATATTTCACGTTCCTCGGGGTTTGGCCAACTTATGTATGTGAGTCTGTGCCGGGGCCTTCGTGGGTCACTTGCCCATCGAACGTGTCCACATTTGTTTGGCCACAGAGCCCCATTGAGGAATTCCCTCTCTCGATCCTCGTGGTGCTCTTTGACTTGCCGCGTGGGAGAGATAGATAAATATGCGGTTTCCAATAGAAGATTTGTCCATAGCAGGTTACTTACTGATTTACGGCTTTGCGGCAAGTTTATGGTAGGATCCCAAAATCTGGAAGCTTTAGTACACAAATAAAAATAATGTCAAGATTATTTTGATATTTACAGGTTAAATAGTATAATTTTAATCATTTATTAATACATAATATTTGTTAAAGAAAAGACGATAGTCTGGGTAAACTAAGTTTAAGTCTGAGAAAAACATATTCAAAATTTGAACAATAACATAGACCAAAGATCGGAATTTCTGAGGATGTAAGCCTTAGAGTGAGTTATATAACAGGAGAGTATATTATATATATAAACCGATTTAAACAATATTTAATTTTAAAGCAAAATATTTGACTAACATTTTACTAACCCCTTAAAAACTCGTTTCTGTCCACGCACTCTTTCAAACTAATTTGCTGTGAGGAAAATCATATCGATAAAAAATTGCAGTAAGTTAGTTTGGAGCAGTTAGCTAAAGTAATTGCCAGCAAACAGGTTAAGTTAAATTGGGTCGGGTTTAGTTAAACTGCGTGATATGGGGGTGGGCTCTATAATTTATTGCACGCATGACCCAATTAAAAACCTATTGCGAAAGAAAATATGATTTATAGAAACTGGAAATGCAATTTCGCTTGTCCCCAATCTTTTTTAACTTTTTTTTAAACTTTTTATAGTATGCTATTAGTAAGCTTTTCGAAAATCCAATTCAATCCAATCCAGATAATATTTTTTAAAGTTCTGATAGGAAAACTCGAACCCACCAATTCGTTTGAAAAATCAATCATTAAGATTCCGCTGATTGGTTTGTTTACCTCTGGCATTAAAACAGCTAAGATCCAAGATCAGAGGAAAGCAAGAGGTCAAGTTGAAGCCGTCGGCAGGCGATCGATCTTGTACTCACAGCGACGCCAACTGACTGATGATGGCTTATGCAATGGCAATGCGAAGGTTTTGCAATTCATAAATATTAACAGTCGATCTGAAGAACTCTGGCATTTCTTAGAGCAGAGAAGTCCCGGCACGGCAGCCGTCTAATTGTTTGCCTCCTTTTATTGGAGATCGATCCAATGCCAATGCCAATGCCACTGCCACTGTGAATGTGCAGCGCCGTCGGAATGGTGTGGACAAGTTTTTGTGGGCCAACTGCGATCGTGATCTTGGCCAGGTCCTTAGCGGGCTACACGTGCTGGCATTGGCATCCACATCCACATGCATCATGATACGATACGATATTGCGTAACCTGCACGCGACAAGAAATTTAACGCAATGCGGATAGATCGATGAATGCACAGTGGAGGTTAGCGAAGAATACCCTCTAAACAAAGTCTCAATTCGTCAAGACATATATTTGTTAAATTGGTAGATATATTTTTACAGAATTTTTAATAATAATAATAAATAAAATAATAAATATATATTTAAAATATAAACTTTAAAATATAGAAATAAAAATATTCTCGTAACTATTATTGTGTCCGCTGATGCACCTAAACTTAGATCGATCCATTATGGAGCGATCGTCGTGCTTCAAATTGGCATTGTTGGAGTTGGATCTAAAGCTGGAGCGATGAGCCTTGTTGGGACCTAATGCAATTAAGATTCGATTAAAAGTTTTCACACACCTTTCTTCGTGGCAAAGGGGTTCGAGGATAGGAGGTAGATGGCAGGTGTGCCGATGTTTGAGTGGGATGGAGAATAGACCGGGACTCCCACATAAATTAGCACGTTACGTGCTGCTGAGTGTACTGCCGCCTTCCGCTTCCTCATCCGTTTCCGCTTCTGGGTTTCTGGCAAGCAGCTTAATAAGAGTCGTACCAAGTACTTTCCATTTTCCATCTGGGACTCCATTGGGAGTCCCCCGTATCCCCCAAGATCAGCAAAGATCTCGGCTCCTGGGCTCATTCGTGACTGAAATCTCTTCTTCGCTGGCTGCTGGTTCTTTGTTTATGGCTGTGAAATTCGTAAATTGAATCTTGCACAGGTTGAAGACTGCCTGCCCCTTTTTTCCCCACACAACATCATCCACAGCATCTTGAGCTATGCACACGTAATTATCCTTAAAGCCAGAAACGTGACGATATTTGCAATTTTCATGCATTTAAGTTCCGTTGAAAATGTTCGGCAGGAATGCGAATATTAATGCCGAATGCGAAACTCAAAGCGGAATCGAAATTCGCATACATTGTGGCTGATTCTCTGGATAAACCTTGTATTTTCGTTGTGTTTTAACTAGCAGCTGGGTAAGGTTTTAATTGTAGCCCCGAGCGGGAAGGTAAAGGTACTATGTGTTTTGGAAGGAGGTTAAACGACTTGATAGGGTTCACCTTAATAGGTGCTTAGTCAGTCAATAGACACATTAGTTCATGCACTTGTTATTTAAAGGTATGTAATGTTAAATGTTAACTAATGTTAACCTTTTGACTTCAGCGTTAAACGAAACCATTAAAAACTTTAAATGCAAATTTATAATAACATGAAAAACATGGCACATGAGCACTCAGATATCGATCTTCTTAGAAAATTATTATTAATGCCTAAAATCCGCTGGGCTCTCAGTGAAAGATGGCCAAGTTCTGCAGTACAATAAAAGGACGCAGACAATTGGGCAGAAAACAACGGGCAGAACAAACGCGATTACCAAATCAACAAGAGCAACAACCACCACGCTAAATTCATTGAGTTTCGACTGCCTTCGTCTGTCGACTCGATTCGCAAAAATATTTCTCAATGTCTAACCCGAGGCCATGGCCAAGGAGTCGTCCGGATCTCCAGAGGTAGAGACCGTCCAGACCCTGGCAACCACCACCTATTAATCAAAATCTCTTGATCTACACAAATCCATACACTGCGAGAAACCTTGCAGCAGTCCGAATTCGGCCTAAAGATCCCATATAATTGGGCGGCAAGAAGCTTTCTTGGAGTGTGGCCAAGTTCGGGGACAGCATCCGCAGCAGCCCCACCACGTTGATGGACGACCAAGACGCCAGGGCTCTGACTTTGACTTTGACTCTAGCGAAAACTTCATCTCTGGCTACACAGGTCTACAAAATTGGGGATTTCGTATGTGTGATTTGATTTATTTAATAACAACAAACAACTTTTTTTGTTAAGAAAATAGATTTTTTTTGGATTTAAAAAATAACTTGATATTATTGTTTGCAAATTACTTGATATCCCGAGTTTACTGGATGAAAAACCTATTTCGATGAAACCAATTTCAATTTCATTTAAGGCAAAATTCTGATTACTAGTGTACTTTTATGTGAAGCTTGGCGGGGGCGGTGTTCGACCCTTGGCAGGGATTTTGGGGAATGGGGAGGAAACATGCGGTAAATCACAAAAGCGAGCCACGATACCACGATGCGATACCAGCTGTTGTTGTTCGGGGCACCGACATAGTCCAGAGAAGGAGTTAGTAGTGCCCTTGGCTCTTTATTAAATTAAGTTAAATCATGTAATTTCCATGTAGCAAGTCAAAAGTGCACTTCTTATACGCTGAGCACGGGGGAGGAGTTCTAGACCCGAGAGAAGGGCTTGATCCTAGACCTGTAATCATCTGCAGGCCTGGGAAATTGCTCAGTCGATGGGTTCAAATTGATTGTAAATGTTTGCCCAGGCGGGTTTTAAGTTTATCTCAAAAATTAAACTTTTGTTGATATCGGAATGTATTGTTGTATTCTCATTTCTTCATTTTTTATATGGGAAGCCAGGGTTACGTCATTAGTAGTATCAAATATCTGTGCCGTAAAGCTAACTGTGGGCTACTTCCCACTCGAAATGAGAAAAAACATTTCCAGCTGTCCAAACTTTAGCTAACTTATTAATTCATACCTGAGTTGTATGAATGCTGATTTGTTGAACTGGCAGGGAATGCAAATTGTAAATGGCCCCCCACATGAGAAAGCGATCTTAAGGGTCCGAAGGGAGGAGCTTGCAAGAAAAGTTTCCAGCTGGAGTGGAGCGACCCACAGCAGCGTTTGTCTTCCACTTTACAGATTGGAGTGGAAATTGTATATCGTACTCGTAGTTAGAATAAATAAATTTCAGTTGGAGGCCCAGTCAGTCGCTACTTTTGCCCAGGTAGCTAAGGTATTCCAGAGAACGGGTCTCGACGGACCACCTCCATCTGCATCTCCATCTCTCCGCCTTCCACAGCCTGCATATTTATGAGATTTATTTTATTTTATGCGATGTCGCTACCTGATACTGATACTCCAGCTCCTGCTGTCCATGCGCATTTATTAGATGACATATTTTATTCATTCTAAAAGGACGGGACCAGGCGATTAGCCATGTTTAGATAGCCAAATTGTTCCGGATGGAATGGCTGCCGTTTCGTTTCCGCTGGTTTCCACTGGCTAAGCCGATTTATGGCCGAACATTTCCTTGTCGGTGTAATCTGTCAGTCGCTGTAGATAGTCTTCATGTGGCGGAAAAGAGGGGGAAGTGGAGCCAATCAGCAGCAATAAATTGACAAAATCAAAGTACTAGATTGTTGGCCATGTGGGAATAGCCCTTTCAGGTTTACCCCTTCCTTTGAGAAAGCCTCTGCTCACAGGTTGCGTAATAAACCAGATACCTGTGATCTCAGACAGACTTTTACAGTGAGAGAAAAACCAGACTGGCCACTTCCATGTACCATTAACATGATCTATATTAAATATTAAAAGAAATTCTTATGCTTTAGGCTTTATAACTTAGTAAGTTTGTTATACTTTTATACGAGACTGTTGATCTCAAATGAAAAATGGAAAATGATAAAGATAAAATAGATATGTAAGAGCTCTAATGCTTGTCTTATATTATAATTAAGATTGATATCTTGATATCTAAAGTTTACCATTTCTGAACGAATTTCCTTGTTACTTTTTCTTGGTGTTCCTCCTGGTCAAAAGCTGCCGCCCGCTGTGTTGACATTGAAAAATGCCGACGCCAGCGGCCTGGTCTCCGATTTCTGCTGCTGATGGCGGCCACATGTGCCTCCACACACGTCCAACACTTTATGACAATCATTTGAGTTAATTGCCAACAGGCAGAGAGCTCGGCAGACCACACGGGGAAGTGCCGCGTGTGGCGTAAATACTGCGTCTCATTTGGCCAAGCAACTCATCTGTTTAGCCGGGCTTGCAACATGTTGCATGTGCTTGAGTCTGTACCCCTTGGCTGCATCATCATCTCGATGTCCACCTCCATGTCCAGGTCCATCTCCTCATGCAGCCCCGCCCCAAGATCAGATCCATTCCCGTTCGAGCACTGAGCTGGGCAGTAAAAGGCATTAGCGTCCGTGTCTGTCACCTTCGTCATGGTCACGCTAATCGTGGTAATCGGCTGCGCCAATAAACTGACAGGTTTATGGACCTGCAGACGCGGAAGCTGGCCTCCTGCCCCCAGACGCATGCGCACTTGATTTAAAAGCAATTAAAATGCGAGTTGATGTCGCGATTGATTTTTCGCCTGGAGCTTAACTCGATGCGTCTAGCACACGCTAAAAGCAGGCCAAATCCCATGTCCTACTTTCGCCTCGTTGCAAAGTTCCAATTCTTTATCAAATGCGCTTAATTTGTTTGCCATTTTTTAAAGACTTTTTACGTTTGTTATTAATTATCTTAAATTACAAACGGTGTTGTTTTTGTTGCCAATTTTAACAAGGCTCTTTTGAGTATGTTTTTACAACTCATTAAGTTTTAATATCTTTCCTTCTGGTTTTGCGTTTTTTTTTGTTTTTAATTATGATTGAATGTTCTCTTCCAGCTGTTGACTAGCTGGTAGGTCAATCAGGATGAGGCTGATATGTTGCTGCCGGACCAGACATATGCCGACTATAACGTGGGCCGCCACCAGCTGCTGACCTACCACAAAAGCAGGAGTCGCGGCTTGAAGTCCAAGCTTTCGCGATCCAAGAGCTCCGATGCCAGCAGCAGCAGCTACGAGCGAACAGCGGACTTCTTTGAGAACATACCGGATTTTCTAGGGGATTCCCTTCCGGCCTTTCTGTACAGTCCGCAGGTGCATCAGGATGCCCAGCCCAAGAGGCGGAATCAGGAGGAGGATGAGGACGACGATGGATTGCCAGCGAAGGATCAGGAGAGCGAGACCACAAGTCAGAGCGACAACTGCGAGGATGATGATGTCCTGCGGCTGTGCGAAGACTTCCTTATGCCGACATCGCATGCGACCAGACTTCTTCTGCCAGTATCACAAGGCAGTCAGGTGAGTCTCTATTAGTTTGTAAGATTTTTATTATTGCTTATAATCAAAGAGAAGTAATGGAGCCTTATAAAAGATATTTTTGAATTAGATGAAGTATTATTATATATTTTATTTTTAAACTTAAGTGTATTTATAAGCAGTGATAAGATTATACTAGATTGTTAAGACTTTAGGTTTACGCTTAGCACAGAAATGCTTAAATGTTTTCATTTAATATAAGAGCTTCAGAAGGTGTTTGACTGTAGAAGATATATGTCTCTGATTCATAGTTCGGCAACGCCATCACCAAAGCAAAGGAAAGCCTCAATCCCCGAAGTGCAGTGCAAATCCACATCCCCACCAGGAAAAGTCAAGCCAAGTCAAGATATAAAGGGACTTCAAGGCAAGCAGGACCAAAGCTGTGGTGGAGAGGTTTTCCAAGTTCTCGGCCATTTACACATTACCTGTGCCCAAAAGAAAGAAGACGTGCAATAAAACCACAGGAAATATAACAGGTAGGATTTAATTATTACTATATACGCGTATATGTGGATGTACTTTTCAATTATAATTATATATTTTAACTAACTGGATATATATTTTGATCGGGAAAATAGTTAACTGTGTGTATGTGTTTATGATGTAATATGGATCTTTAATTTCGTGAAACATCAGTTGTAGCCACTCCCCCTTGTTATCAGACAGCGACCAGTGGTGAAAACTAACTAAATCGACAATAGACATGCAACATTTTCGCAGCCTGATCTGAATATATAAGAAGGAAATGCAAGGCCAGTGGTTTTATCATAAACTCTGATGGTGTATATTAGAAAAATGCCGCCCTGCCAGCTTAAAGTTTTTCTGATCCTGTGGACAGCCTCAATGGTATAGTCATTCTACTAATCGAGAACTTTGAGTTCTTAAAATGGGTAAAATATTAATTATCTCATTTTTGGAATTACAGTGCTTGGGAATGAACTTAGAGGCCCGAGTAGAATCGATTGGTGCTATAGAAGGTGATAAGGAAACTCTTTTCACTTTTACAACGCGACTTTTAGGGAGAGAACGACTGTTAAATGGATCAATTATTAATCATGTCGACCTAGACGAGTCCTATGAAGTTTGGCTTGATATTGATCAATATAGGAATGGAGACTGGGTCCCCAGTAACATGAAGGTGCGCACCAAGCCGTGCAATTGGTTTACCAACTATTTTGGTAAATATTTTCTACCAATGATTAAAGATTCGAACTTGCCTCCGGTCGGAGAGATGTGCCCCTTTCGAAAGGGCGAATATTATATTAGAAACGCCAAGATTGAGCCACATAACTGGCCATCAATCTTGTTTCAGGGCCTAAACAAGTTCATTATTCTTTATAAAAAGAATGGACAAGTTTACGGCGGACTTGAGTTTGTCATTGACTTGATCGATGCAATCTGATAAATTGCAATTTGAAAACATTACAGATGTAGAGAATATCTTAAACTGATATATGCAATTAAAACAAACAGTATCTCGAGGGTATTACGAATTGTTTTATTATTATGTTTGGATCGAAATTTCATATTTCTTTTAACTTTACGATTTAAATCACAAGACATTTTAAAGTTCTCAATAGACATTTCTTAGTCAAATTATAAATTTTAAACGGTTAAAAAATAGAACCTAGACTGCAAGCAGTAACAAGAGACATTGTTAAGACAAAGCAGTAATTTCGTTTTTATCAAGCAGTATACACTGCTTGTCTTCAGGGCTGGCGAACCGGTTATTCGATACAACTTTTACCAATCAAATGTTATCGTATAAACCCAAAGCAGTGAACCTATTGCAAGCAGTTCAGCCGTTAACTTTAAAAGTGATTTTATTAATGAAAATACATACGATGAATTGATAGATAAATTACAATTGATCGAACCTATTTGCTAAAACTAATCGTTATTGGAAAGACGCTGTGTTTTAGTACTTTGCTCAAACAAAAAACCTTCGTGTAAGCAATTTGCATTTTTCACTGCAGTGCTGTGGGAATTGCAAAATGCAGCAAAGCAACAAACAATCGTCACTAATTAACACGCGACCAGTGAGACGAGATGGTCGGCGGGTGGAGGCTCAAACACTTGACCTCATATTTGAACAACTGCACGCATCTCGGAGGGTAGAGCCTTTTACCTGTTAGAAAAGATACCTGCCGAGCGGGAGAGTATTTCACCAAGAGTTAAGCGAACGAGAGACCCGAACCGAGATCTTAGGGAGCACATCCATTCCAGCGTTGGCGATCAGTCTGCGTCTGGAGTTTGAATCGCTCACATCGCGTGCTCGCACTCGTATTCTCTTTTTCTCTCTCTCGACTCGAACCAAGTGAAACGATCGCATAAAAACCCAATTAAAGTTTATAATTAATCGGCGGAGAGGTCACGCGTCTGCTCAAAGAGAGTTGAAAGTGCCACTAGTAAAATCCGCGGCAGCGAATCAATCTGAAAAGTCGAATCCATCTCACATCCCACCGCCCTGCCTCTTGGTCCGTTGGTGTATAGTGGTGTGTACCTTCGAGGTATCTAAGCGCACATCTACACTGGGTCTCTGGCTGGCTGCCTGTTGGACCTGGAGTTGAAGTTGGAAACTCGTTTTTCAAAACCAAAACGACGAAAAAAAGTCTGCACAAAACGAGAAAATAAGCGCGGCCGCGAAGAAAACAAAAACAACAACAAGAAAAGCAGGGGAAAAAATAAAGCACAATAATATAAGAAAAGCAAAAGCAGATCCAGAACCAAGACCAATACCATAACCAAAACCTGACGACCAGGCCAGGCTCCCTGTGATTTGGTTTGGTTTTTGGCCGCCGCTCGCCCTTCTGCATTCTTTTCGCTTGTTTACTTATTTTCGTGTGCTGTGCGGTTGCTTCACTTGTTGCAGCTGCACATACGTCCGCCTTAACATATATACGTATATACGTATATATATATGTCTTTCAATATATGTATGTACATATATTCGGACTCGGATTCGGGTTCGGTTTGTATGCCATAGATATAGATGCCTGCCAGAGCCTGTGCGGAAAACGAAAAACGAAATACGAATACGAATACGAAAACCTGTTCCTCCGGCCATTTGCCAGTGTATCGGTGTCGGTGAGAGCCTGTATACGGCATTATTCAAATAAGAAAATCGCCGTGGCCACACAAATGTTCAACAACGATGGCCACATTGGGCCTGTCAAAAGTCTTCATACTGGATAAATACTTTACCGAATTGCAAAAATTTTGGGAGACGGAGAAGAAGCTGCAGGGTAAGTTGAACTGTATCTGAGCGGTATTAGATGCAGGATAGGAGTCTGTGAGAGTCTGTTTTTAGTTCGGCTTTATTTGAAGATGAGAGATGAATTTTCTTAAGTCTTTTGAATTGCTTAACACAATTTAACGAAATTAGGACTCTTAAAACTTACAACTTAAATAAACTTTGACATTCATTGCTTAAACCAAACGAAGTGCTTAAGTAAAATTACCATCACGATAATTTATAGTTTGTTGCTTAAGTCTTTCGATTCCTTAAATCTGTGCAGTGTAACAAAAATTTTCTCGAAAGTTTTTCAGATATATTAAATTTGTGAAATTAATTCTTTTCATCAAATCAAATTCTGCGTATTTACGATTATAATTTTTGCTTAGAGCCAACTGATTTTATGGAAACAAATAAAATTAATTGTATACTTTTTTACATTCGCTTAACCATTTACTTTAGTGTTAATAAATCGGTATGTATTTTGTAATAACAAAGCAAAAGCCGGCAGAGATATAAGCGTTGTTTGCTATTTAAGCTTCGTTCTACAAATTTTTCATTGAGCTTGACCATTAAAGCAATTTGCTGGGTTTCTTTTCTGGACTATCTGTCTAAAGTGTCAGTTGATTGGCTCTCGGCTTACTTGTCGTTACCATCTTGGGCTGCTGGTTTATGTTTTTCAATCAACCTCCATGAGCATTCGCAGTCGATCGCATTCATATTCATAATCATCGGCAATAACTACAAGCCGAATCCGCATATATGGATACCTGGCTGTATGGGTGTCGCTTGCCTCTCGACTTGCAACATTTCATTTGTGCGACGCGACTGTTCCTCTACGTTACCCTTCTCTCCAAGTCACAGTGCGCCACCAACGACATATAACTTGTGCTTGGCGACCAGTTTGGGCCAACTTTGTTACTCAGCTTCCAAGAAATTTTCTCGCCATCTCCAGCATGCAAAAAGCGGAGACCATAAACAAGAAACAACGAGGAAAAGCCAATAAAGCTAATTACTATTCACTTTAAAAATATTCCAAAGTTCATTTTAGTGATGCTTTCGATTGTGAAATTATCACCAATTAATTGGTTGGCAAGCACCACTCTTTTTCTTCTGAGGTCTAATAAAAGCCTGATTTGTCGGTCACTAAATTGGAAAAGGTCTAATCATCATATACGAACCCTGAAAAGACTCAAAACTGTTGGCATGACTTCGATGGAAGTCTTTTCTGTACCTTTTTCTGTGGCTTTTGTCTTATATTTCTTGAGTGCAGCTTTGGGCAACAGAAAACACAAAAAAACCTAAAAAACCAAAACTGGTTTTCTCTGTCAGAGTTAAAGTCATCAATGATATTGTTTTTTGTATTTTGTCGACTCTGATTTTGTTGTAAGCTAAGCTCTGCCTCTCTGTTTTGGTTCAGAGATCCATCGGGCGAAGGTATACCTTGGCTAGTAGTACTCTTTTTCGAAGTTTTCCTCGTTTTTCATTAGCTAATTAGTTTGATTTCTTGGTTGGGCTGTAAAAGGCAGTGGACAGGTTTCTCAAAAGCATTAACTTAATAAAATCTTGTTAGTTCGGGGTGTTGGGTTGTAACAATGACCTCTCGGCCCTGTTTTGAAAGTCTTCATAAATCAGTTGGCATTATAAGCTGTTCGTCGAGTCTTCTCATTGATCTTATATTCTAAATGTACACAGTTCTTTGAATTTTGGTCTCCACCTGCCGCCAATTTTGTGTTTCATCTTTGCGCTTTCTGTGTCTCTATTTTTCTCCAACTCCGGCGAAATTGGTTCATTAACATTTTATGTAAATGTTCACCATCTATATCTATTAAAATGACTTTTGCTGCTCCGTCGGCACAAGCCTATCCGACCGATTCGCGTGCATGAATGTCTGTTAGCCTAGGCGAAATTAATCGGTGTGAATTCAATTTTGTTGTATTGACTTGTTAATTAGAACTAAACAAATTCCTCTTCGCCATAATGAAGATTTCCATTAAGTCAGATGATGAAGTATTTTTAAAGTAGGAGTTTAACATACCATGAAATGCATTTTGCTTTCAAATCATAAACAAAACCACTTTGATTTAAAATAGTAAAATATTTGCGCCATTAATTAGCCAAAAAACAGAAACATTGTAATTTATATTAGTGATACATAATACATATACATACATAATACATACATACATAATACCTCTTCGGCGTCTTTGTTTAATTTATAAAAAAACAAAAACGTTTCCATATATAAATACTTAAATAAATAGTTATTACTTATTGTATAGCTTTTCCTTCTAGTCTACAAAAGTAATTTAAAATTATGGCCAAATCTATTTTGATTTCTTAAGGAAATCACTAGTAAAAAAGAGATTCTGAAATATAACTTTTGGCTGACGTCGAACACCGTCCTCGATAGTATAGTGGTTAGTATCCCCGCCTGTCACGCGGGAGACCGGGGTTCAATTCCCCGTCGGGGAGATGTTTACATTTCTTTTTTCATTTATTTATTTTGTTTAAAAGAATTGTTTTTATCAGTCTTACAAGATTAAAAAATGTTCTATCCCTCTTTAAGCTATTAAAAGAAAAAACAAATAAAACACATCCGGGCTCCAAAATTCAAAATATTCCGCTATTTTTTAATTTGATTAGCTTTAATATATTGTAAGAAAATAGTGATTAGTGATTAATAATTGTTAATAATACACTTTTAAACATAAAAAAATAAAAATGTTTACACATATCTCCCCGACGGGGAATTGAACCCCGGTCTCCCGCGTGACAGGCGGGGATACTAACCACTATACTATCGAGGACGGTGTTCGGCGTTAGCCAATAGTTCTCTTTCAGAATCTTTGTTTTACTGGTGGATGTGTCAAAAGAACCGATGTAGGAAAAAATAATATAACTTTTCCCGAGTTTAACAATTATTAATTTATGATAAAACTATAAAAGCTATATATATACGTAGAACTTCTAGAACAAGTAAAAACTATAAGAAAGAAGGAAACCAGCATTTACTGAACCAGACAGGTGCTAATGCATATGAAAGCAACAGAAACGTGCAATTAATTTGGTTTTCGTAAATTATTTTTCTCTGAGTCTTCTGTCGTGTTGTAGTTTTGGCTACTTAACAAACATTTTATATTCGAGTCCTTACAACAACATACTTAATATATTGACTCTGAATTTGGAATTACACTAAAGTGTTGGAGATGAAAGGCGAAACCGTTCCTGAAGTGGATATGAGGATAGTGGCCCAGAGTGCAGAGATTCACAGGCAAGGCATTTTGGGCTTCGCTCCCCGAATCGGATTGGGCATTGTGGACTATAGCGAACTAGATAGGATCGACAATTTCTATATGGAAAGCCAGAAATACCGGGACTATTATCGCGATCCGCACAATATCATGCACAAGCCAGACGTTTTTCAGCGGCATCAGGGAAAATGCGGCATTAAAATGGACGTTACTGTCCAGAACTTAACCGAGCCGATACGATGGGTAGAAGAGCGGCGTCCAGTTGTTTATCCTCTTTCAAAGGACACCTCCATGAGGATAGGCATACCAATTCCACCCATGATCAGAGGGCGGTATTCCAAGTCCTCATCCACCTCCTTTCTTCACTAGACAAAGGACTTTTGATGCGTTCTTAGTCGACCTGAGATCCTATTTAAGGACTGCTTCATTTAGTTGAAGGTACCTGGCGAGCATCTTAGCTCATCTACGAACGCATAACTTATATAAGATGGTCAACTAAATTGTTCTGTTAACTATTGCCCATAAGTCATACAGGCAAGAATATGAGATGATTCTGAGTGGCTGACAAATAAAAATGTGTTAATTGTAAAATAAGAATAATATCAAGTTGTTTTCATTTCGGATATTATTATTACATTTTATAGAAGAAACACCATTTAAGGTATTTTAGCTTTATATTAAAATTTAATAAAAGCTGTGTTCTCCTTTTCAGATGCATCTTCATCCAATGAGGCAGTTCATCTTCAGCAACGGCTCAAGAGCCTGAGCACCGAGTTGGTTACTCTGCGAAATCGATTACATGTGGGCCATGGACCAGGTCAAAATCAGAGTCAGGCAAACGGGTCGCAGTCCCACAGCTCTCCAACTGGACCCAATGCGGGTCCCAAGGCCAACAATTTCGATCTGAATGCCTCCAGTCCCAATCTCAACCTGAGTTCCAGCGGTGCTGGACTTTCTGCTACCGCCGTGCAACAGCATGCCAATGGACATCATTCAGCATCGAAGGTAAGTTAGTCAACATACAAATATCCTTTCTCTAGGATTATAAGAAAAAGTAAATAATATTTAAATATCATATAAATAATACAAAGGCAGCCTTAATATTCCATATTTCGACACAAGTTTTTCCTTACTGATGCTTATTTTCTTTATATTGAGGTGTTTATTTGTTTTCACTCTCCTTACAGAATCACAACTTCAGCCAGACTCTGCCACCGAACTCAGGCTCTGGGGCAGGAGGAGGAGGCGGAGCTGTGGTGTCGGCGAGGAACACCTCGATTCCACACCCACTTCCGCACCAGCTGGTCGAAAAGCCGGGTCTGTCGCACCACCAGAGTGGCAGCGGACATGGTCAGTCCACTGGGACGCTGCCGCACATAAGCAGCATGGGAAACATCCTGGGGCATGGTTCCCATTCCCATGCCCCGGTCAACACCAACTCTAACACTCTGCCTATGCGCACCTCCAACTCTGGACACCTGGGCACCAATGGTGTAGGCGGAGGGCATCACCTCAGCCACGCCCACAGCCAACAATTGCCATTTATCCCGCAGCCGAAGCACGCGAATCCTTGCCAGAGTGTGAAGACATTGCCGTTTGGATTCGGATTCGCTGGGGGTCAACAGAAGCTGCAGCAGCAGCAGGCCAACTCTCAGCCAAAGGACATGCAGGACCTTATCCACTTATCCGGACCGCTCACCGAGCATGCTGTAATGCGAACGCTGCAGGCCCGCTTCAACGAGCAGCGGTACTTTGTGAGTATTAGCGGGATCCGCCTCTTCAAATCACTTCTATAGTCACCGAAGATCAGTAACCAACCAAAACCGGTCCCGGAGACGGGTCTCAAGCAATTATTGTGATAGTTTGTCATTAAAACCCAGCTCCGTTTGCACTCAGCCCCAGATTAACTGCTAATTTCGACAATTACTCGGCGGAAGGCAAAGGAAGTCGATCTGGTCTAGTCAGGGGAAACAGAATGGCAGTCGGAGATGGGTATGAGGTGTGATCATATATGAGGTGGGGCTGGGATCGGGTTTTGCACATTTATTGACAGTGTTTAGTTACCAAAGAGCGTAGTGGTTAATGTTTACTGGTATCAGTCTAATTCAAGAAGTTTTACTAAAGATTTATTATTTACATTAAGGACTTAAAGAATTTATTTACGATTTGTTTTGATAAAAACTTAAACTTTTATGTATTTTAAGTTTCTAACAATGCTTATTTTGGGAACTGTTAAGTATTTTGTTAAAGTGCTTGTCGACCCCAATTTTTCCTCGAATTCGTCTGAATGACCTCCAAACCTTTTGACTCATCGGGATAATTAATGTACTGTCATTAATCTTGCGCCATGTTTCAGACGAATGTCGGTCCGATCTTGCTGTCCATCAACCCGTACCTGGACGTTGGCAACCCTCTGACCCTCACCTCTACCCGCGCCATGCCACTGGCACCGCAACTTCAGAAGATCGTCCAGGAGGCAGTGCGTCAGCAAAGTGAGACTGGATATCCGCAGGCCATTATCCTTTCGGGAACATCGGGAGCTGGAAAAACAGCCAACGCAATGCTGATGCTGCGCCAGCTTTTCGCCATTGCCGGCGGAGGTCCTGAAACAGATGCCTTCAAGCATTTGGCCGCTGCCTTTACAGTCCTGAGATCCTTGGGATCGGCAAAGACCACCACCAACTCGGAGTCGAGTCGCATTGGCCAGTTCATCGAAGTACAAGTTACGGATGGTGCTCTCTATCGCACTAAGATCCACTGCTACTTCTTGGACCAAACGCGCGTCATCCGTCCGCTGCCGAAGGAGAAGAACTACCATATATTCTACCAACTGCTGGCGGGTCTCAGTCGAGAGGAGCGCCAGAAGTTACATCTGGAGGGTTACTCGCCAGCCAATCTTCGTTATTTGCGAGGAGACACTGGCCAGAATGAGCCGGAAGATGCCTTGAGGTTCCAGGCTTGGAAGACTTGTCTCGGCATACTGGGCATTCCATTTTTGGACGTTGTTCGTGTCCTTGCCGCTGTTTTGCTGTTGGGAAATGTTCAGTTCATTGATGGTGGGGTAAGTAGTATTTGAAAGATTTTGTTACGTGATACTTATTTACAATTATTTAGTTGAGTTTGATTGTTTTGTGGTGCTATTATTTTTTTTAAAGAGCCTTCTGTATTTAATTTCATTACATTATCGCCATCTAGCGGGGATTTTCACCTCTGCTTACATTTATTGTTCGCCACCGCGTTCGCTGATGCTGTGTTGGTGTTCTGGTTAGAGTGGTGACCTTCGGAATCCGTTCGCGCGAGTTCGAGTCCCGCTCGAACCCTTCCGTTCATACATCCAAAATATTTCTCGCGCTGATGTTTATATATTCGATATATATAAAATTCATTCACACTGGGTAATTTACGACTGAACTGCCTTGCGGAAAAAATGTGCTGAGCGAGAAATATTTTTGATAAACAAAGGCTTTTTTATATCGGTTAACATTTAATATTGAGAGATTCCCCTAATTAAAAATTTAACGAAGAATATATTGATTTCACAGGGCCTCGAAGTGGACGTAAAGGGAGAAACAGAGCTGAACTCGGTGGCCAGCCTTTTGGGCGTTCCGCCGGCAGTCCTATTCCGTGGACTGACTACCCGGACTCATAATGTTCGTGGCCAGCTGGTGAAGTCGGTTTGTGGCGACGGCGATGCCAACATGACGCGGGATTGTCTGGCAAAAGCGCTTTATTGTCGCACGGTGGCCACTATTGTCCGTCGGGCCAACAGTCTGAAACGTCTGGGATCCACACTGGGCACTCTCAGTTCGGACTCCAATGAATCGGTGCACAACCAAGCGGATGCCGCCTCCCAACACGCCTCCACGATTGGCGGCGGCAACGCGGGGTCCAAATCAATGGCTGCCCTTAATAATGCAGTGCGCCATGCCACCGATGGATTCATAGGAATCCTTGACATGTTCGGTTTCGAGGAGCCCTCGCCACACGCCCATCTGGAGCATCTGTGCATCAATCTATGCGCCGAGACCATGCAGCACTTCTACAATACGCACATCTTTAAGTCCTCGGTGGAGTCATGTCGCGATGAGGGCATCGTGTGCGACACAGAAGTGGATTATGTGGACAATGTCCCCTGCATCGACCTGATATCCTCTCTGAGAACTGGTCTGCTAAGTATGCTGGACGCTGAGTGCTCAGTTCGGGGCACTGCAGAGAGTTATGTGACCAAGTTGAAGGTGCAACATCGCAGCTCCACTCGCTTGGAGACGAAACCCACCGCAGAACCCCATGATCCGCGTATGTTCCTTATCCGACACTTTGCTGGGCGGGTTGAATACGACACCACCGACTTTCTGGACACCAATCGGGATGTGGTTCCCGACGATTTGGTCAGCGTTTTCTACAAGCACACCTGCAACTTCGGCTTCGCCACCCATCTCTTTGGCTCCGAGCTGAAGGCTCTCTATGCTCAGCCGCAGGCACCGCGTGGCTTAAGCTTCCGGATCTCGCCCACCTCGCATTCGGATCTGCTGAACGGAGATGAGCCAGTGTCCACGTTGACACAGGACTTCCATACCAGGTTAGACAACCTGCTAAGAACCCTGGTGCATGCACGTCCACACTTTGTTCGCTGCATCCGCGGCAACGGAAACGAGGCTGCTGGAAGCTTTGATCGGGCCACAGTAGTACGACAGATAAGATCCCTGCAGGTTCTGGAGACGGTCAACTTGATGGCCAGTGGGTTTCCGCATCGCATGCGCTTCAAGCAGTTCAACGCCCGCTATCGGATGTTGGCCCCGTTTCGTCTTCTACGCCGCAGCGAGGACAAGGCTCTGGAGGATTGCCAGTTAATCCTGCAGTACGCCATGGAGCAAACACCTGTGCTGGATGGATCTGTTACACTGGCCTGGGCTCCCGGCAAGCGTCATGTTTTCCTTAGCGAGGGCATACGCCAGCACTTGGAACATTTGCGGACAGAGATCCGGCACAAGAGCGCCACTCTAATGCAGGCCACCTGGCGTGGCTGGTGGTGGCGTAAGAAGGTGGGCAGTGGCGCGGCCAAGCGCTCCAGGGCCGCAGGTCATCCACAGACTCAGTCGGCTCCTCTTCCGGTTACGAAGACAACACAGAACTCCACTGCGCAGAACAAGGCCGCAGCATCCACAATGGCGGCCCTTGCCGCAGTGGCAGCTGCAGCTCCCAGTTCAGGTGGGATTCCTATATCCAAGCTGTATATGGCAATATATCTAACTCTCGATTTTTTTACCAGCAGTACCACGTCTTTCGGCCAAGTCAACGAGCTTGGGCATCAGTGGAGCAGTGACCAGACCCAGACCACAGCCCATCGCTGGAACTCCTCCGCCGGATCCGCAAGAGAAGTGCGACCAGAAGATCATACAACAAACCTGTAACCTTTATGGACTGGATTTGGTAAGTTTTGCTAAGTTTCTTCGGAAAAAAAGATTCATATTATAAAAACTACTATTTGCTCAATAATATTAATTTTAATGTTGTTCTTACAGGAACGTCCACCACCCGTTCCACCGTCTCGATCCTACACGATCACCGGCAACTCTAAGCTGGGCTACCCCCAGAGTCGGGTCATGAAAATGAGCTTTCCCGAGGAGAGCCAATCGGATGCACAGCAGCTAAAGAAAGGCGAGATAGTGACCGTAATGGGGGCGTCCACTGGGCGGGGTCACCTGCTGGTGGAGCACAAGGGCCAGAGCTTTAATGTGCCCTTCCAATATATGGAACTCATTACTTCGGAGACTGCTGGTGGAACCAATCTGGCTCCCATTCCGGCTGGCCAATCTACTGGTGTAAAAATTTGAACAAAAGATATTGGGGTACCATCGGACTATAACCCACATCTTTCAAGACTGTAAATAATCCACTTGGTAGACTTAAGAACAACCATTATTATTAAGAATCGCATGCTAACTGAGGTGCTATAACTGGCCCCGGATTTACGTAGTATTATTAATTTCGTGTTTATAAATAAACGCCAATCGATAGGTTGTAGCTTCAATTACACACCCACAAGTGCCAATCAAATAAGTTCTTCCATGTATTTTATAAGTATTTTGTATGTTACTGAGATTACTTTATCCATCGTTAAAGGCCAATACACTAAGTTCTTAATTAAGTTTCAACAAATCCATTCAAACTTATATTTGCATACATTCTAGAGTTGTGTATTTTCTTTCATTAAGGTTCATCATTCAAATAAACCAAGCATGTATTGAAATATGTAATGTGTTTAATAGTTATATTGGAGGTTGTTTCTGGAAAGTCAAAACTGGAAATATTGTCTGTATTATTGAGATAATTAACCATTAAAGTTATTGTGTTGCATCAATAAAAAGATATGAGGTGGTTATACGAGTGACCATAACTCAACTTAAAAGCTATAAAAAGAAGGTGAAGAGTTATTAAAATAAATGGTCTTTCAATATCAGACGCTTAGTAATTTTAGATTTGGAGCAATTTTTCTTTCATTGTCAATTAATTTTGAATTTTTAATAACCGTTTTTTGCCATTCACAGTGAAACATTCAAGCTGTGTAATTTTATAGCAAGCAGTTTCACACTCGATCCGCAAGCAGGCCAACCAGCTGACTGACCTATCAGTTCTGTTTTGTTTGTTTTTAAATTATATTTCAATGGAGAAAATAAATGAAGATATATGGATAAATATATTAAAGTTCCTACCCATGACTGACCAGTTGGAACTGGCAAAAGTCAACCAGAATATATCATCCTATGTGGAATATTATTGGGGCCACTTAAAGACAGTGATGCTAACCCGCGAAGATCTGGAGGCACTGGACCAGAACAAGGGTTAGGTGTTGAAATTGGTTTTAAAATATTACAATGATAAATATTTATTATTCAAATTAACTTAGAACTGATGCAAAAATGCCTGGGCAGTTGGTCTAAGTCGGTGGAGCGGCTTAGACTGGCCAGTGCCAGTAGAGATCTTCTGCAGAAATGGTCGGAATATTCATTTCCCCACCTCCGGACGCTGGACTGTCACATGGACTATAACCTCGAGGAAGCCGACGAGGAAACGGTTCTGCTCACCGAGCTGTTTCCACTCCTGACTAACCTGACGCTGAACAGCAGCACCACAGGTAGGATTTTTGTAATGAGAATCTAAAAAATTTAACAACATTATACCATTTTATCATAATTCCAGGTCTCCATTTGTGGCAATGGAAGCAGTTGAAGGAATTAAATCTCATCTGGTGCGAGTACCTGGAGTCGGACTACTTCGAGGAGATCTTCAGCAGACTTAAGCTTACCAAGCTGACATTGCTATACTATGGATACAATGTGAATCTGGGGGAGAAAGTTCTCGATGTCACCCGTTGTTCCACCCTGGAAGAGCTAATTATTGACGACCACCATTTGTTGGGCGATTTTATGCATCGCCTGATGAATCTGCCTCACTTCCGCCGCCTGGCATTCTACACCCGGGACTACTCTGAATCCTCGCTAAATTCTATCACCCGGTACAAACCGCTTAAGGTGCGATCGCTGCTCTTTAACGACTCCTTCTGGGATAACGAACGGATGGCAGAAAATATCGTGCACATGACCAATCTTCGCCGGTTGGTCTTGCAGGAAGACGACATCGATACCCAGCAGCTGCTCTCTATCTGCCAAAAGCTGCGAAATCTTGAGGAGCTACATCTGTTGCAAATGCGGGAAGTACCTCCGCCCAACTATTTGTGGAATACCATAAGCCTCTGCCCCAAGCTAAAGATCCTCAATCTGTCCTCTACAAAGTTAGCCTGTCGATCGGTGGAACTCAGCAAATCACGCCTTTTAAAAGTTCTGGGCTCTCGTTTATGCCCAGTGACCCTACATCTTCACAATACTGGATTAACTCCAGAAACGGTAAGAACATATTAAATTAATATATAATCTAATAAATTCTGACTTTATTAACCGCTCTAGGTCCTGTCTCTTGGTGATTGTAATAACTTAAACATATCATTCGAGCCCATCCGTTTAAATATTTGGAGTTCGCGATTTATGGAAATCGAATTCGATCCTGAATTGGCATAGTCAGTGAGTCACATAGTCACCAATGAGCGTTTAAAACTACCTCAGACCTTCAGATTGAACATAGGATCAGATGTAATCTGTATTCTAATTTGCCTTTATCTGTTACAAGATAAAAAATTTGCCAATTCGCATGAAAGAAGTTGTTTTATGGCTGCTAAGATTTCCTAAGAAAAATTAAAAAGTGATAACATATCTTTCGACTTATCGTTAATGGGGGTGATTGACGACGGAGAACCTTTGTATATTTTTAAAGCCAACATTTTTCAATCGATGCAGTTGCATTTTTAAACAGGCGTTTATGTTTTGGTAGTCAGCTGCATAAAACAGTCATTGTTTTAGACGTGCCGCTTGTTTTGACAAATTTACAGTTAAAAAACGGCAAAAATTCGTGTTTCTCTGCTGTCAAAAGGTCGTATACTTGATTTCGAGCCTAAAATATCAGTATTTTGTTCATTACAAAGCCAAAACTGGTCCAAACATGGAATGTCATATCTTATAATACTCGGAATTTGATTGCTATGATTCCCATTTGGGTTGCGTTCAAATCTGGGACACTGCCATTTTTTCAATTTTTCGCAAATTTTGATGATGGTACCCCTTATAAAAATGCGAAATTCGAGCAAAAATGAATTTTCTCAAAATCGAAAAACGAGTGATAGGGGTGGTAAGAGATGGTCGTTAGCAGCACAAAACAGTCGTTCTCTTGGCTGTAAGTCTTGTTTTGACCAAGATAGAGCTGGAAAACCGCAAGTAATATTCTAAATTTCTGACAAAAAATGGGTTTTTGATATTTTAGTCACTAATTCAGCTCTCGCAGCAAAAAATCAGAACAATCATGGGGAAAGTAAGTATCAGCGTTTTATGTTTTGGTAGTCAGCTGCATAAAACAGTCATTGTTTTAGACGTGCCGCTTGATTTTGACAAATTTACAGTTAAAAAACGGCAAAAAAATCGTGTCTCTCTGCTGTCAAAAGGTCGTATACTTGATTTCGAGCCTAAAATATCAGTATTTTGTTCATTACAAAGCCAAAACTGGTCCAAACATGGAATGTAATATCTTATAATACTCGGAATTTGATTGCTATGATTCCCATTTGGGTTGCGTTCAAATCTGGGACACTTCCATTTTTTCAATTTTTCGCAAATTTTGATGATGGTACCCCTTATAAAAATGCGAAATTCGAGCAAAAATTAATTTTCTCAAAATCGAAAAACGAGTGATAGGGGTGGTAAGAGATGGTCGTTAGCAGCACAAAACAGTCGTTCTCTTGGCTGTAAGTCTTGTTTTGACCAAGATAGAGCTGGAAAACCGCAAGTAATATTCTAAATTTCTGACAAAAAATGGGTTTTTGATATTTTAGTCACTAATTCAGCTCTCGCAGCAAAAAATCAGAACAATCATGGGGAAAGTAAGTATCAGCGTTTTAAGTTTTGGTAGTCAGCTGCATAAAACAGTCATTGTTTCAGACGTGCCGCTTGTTTTGACAAATTTACAGTTAAAAAACGGCAAAAAATCGTGTCTCTCTGCTGTCAAAAGGTCGTATACTTGATTTCGAGCCTAAAATATCAGTATTTTGTTCATTACAAAGCCAAAACTGGTCCAAACATGGAATGTAATATCTTATAATACTCGGAATTTGATTGCTATGATTCCCATTTGGGTTGCGTTCAAATCTGGGACACTTCCATTTTTTCAATTTTTCGCAAATTTTGATGATGGTACCCCTTATAAAAATGCGAAATTCGAGCAAAAATTAATTTTCTCAAAATCGAAAAACGAGTGATAGGGGTGGTAAGAGATGGTCGTTAGCAGCACAAAACAGTCGTTCTCTTGGCTGTAAGTCTTGTTTTGACCAAGATAGAGCTGGAAAACCGCAAGTAATATTCTAAATTTCTGACAAAAAATGGGTTTTTGATATTTTAGTCACTAATTCAGCTCTCGCAGCAAAAAATCAGAACAATCATGGGGAAAGTAAGTATCAGCGTTTTAAGTTTTGGTAGTCAGCTGCATAAAACAGTCATTGTTTTAGACGTGCCGCTTGTTTTGACAAATTTACAGTTAAAAAACGGCAAAAAATCGTGTCTCTCTGCTGTCAAAAGGTCGTATACTTGATTTCGAGCCTAAAATATCAGTATTTTGTTCATTACAAAGCCAAAACTGGTCCAAACATGGAATGTCATATCTTATAATACTCGGAATTTGATTGCTATGATTCCCATTTGGGTTGCGTTCAAATCTGGGACACTTCCATTTTTCCAATTTTTCGCAAATTTTGAAAAATTATAAAAATGCGAAATTTGAGCAAAAATTAATTTTCTCAAAATCGAAAAACGAGTGATAGGGGTGGTAAGAGATGGTCGTTAGCAGCACAAAACAGTCGTTCTCTTGGCTGTAAGTCTTGTTTTGACCAAGATAGAGCTGGAAAACCGCAAGTAATATTCTAAATTTCTGACAAAAAATGGGTTTTTGATATTTTAGTCACTAATTCAGCTCTCGCAGCAAAAAATCAGAACAATCATGGGGAAAGTAAGTATCAGCGTTTTAAGTTTTGGTAGTCAGCTGCATAAAACAGTCATTGTTTTAGACGTGCCGCTTGTTTTGACAAATTTACAGTTAAAAAACGGCAAAAAATCGTGTCTCTCTGCTGTCAAAAGGTCGTATACTTGATTTCGAGCCTAAAATATCAGTATTTTGTTCATTACAAAGCCAAAACTGGTCCAAACATGGAATGTAATATCTTATAATACTCGGAATTTGATTGCTATGATTCCCATTTGGGTTGCGTTCAAATCTGGGACACTTCCATTTTTCCAATTTTTCGCAAATTTTGATGATGGTACCCCTTATAAAAATGCGAAATTCGAGCAAAAATTAATTTTCTCAAAATCGAAAAACGAGTGATAGGGGTGGTAAGAGATGGTCGTTAGCAGCACAAAACAGTCGTTCTCTTGGCTGTAAGTCTTGTTTTGACCAAGATAGAGCTGGAAAACCGCATGTAATATTCTAAATTTCTGACAAAAAATGGGTTTTTGATATTTTAGTCACTAATTCAGCTCTCGCAGCAAAAAATCAGAACAATCATGGGGAAAGTAAGTATCAGCGTTTTAAGTTTTGGTAGTCAGCTGCATAAAACAGTCATTGTTTTAGACGTGCCGCTTGTTTTGACAAATTTACAGTTAAAAAACGGCAAAAAATCGTGTCTCTCTGCTGTCAAAAGGTCGTATACTTGATTTCGAGCCTAAAATATCAGTATTTTGTTCATTACAAAGCCAAAACTGGTCCAAACATGGAATGTAATATCTTATAATACTCGGAATTTGATTGCTATGATTCCCATTTGGGTTGCGTTCAAATCTGGGACACTTCCATTTTTCCAATTTTTCGCAAATTTTGATGATGGTACCCCTTATAAAAATGCGAAATTCGAGCAAAAATTAATTTTCTCAAAATCGAAAAACGAGTGATAGGGGTGGTAAGAGATGGTCGTTAGCAGCACAAAACAGTCGTTCTCTTGGCTGTAAGTCTTGTTTTGACCAAGATAGAGCTGGAAAACCGCAAGTAATATTCTAAATTTCTGACAAAAAATGGGTTTTTGATATTTTAGTCACTAATTCAGCTCTCGCAGCAAAAAATCAGAACAATCATGGGGAAAGTAAGTATCAGCGTTTTAAGTTTTGGTAGTCAGCTGCATAAAACAGTCATTGTTTTAGACGTGCCGCTTGTTTTGACAAATTTACAGTTAAAAAACGGCAAAAAATCGTGTCTTTTTGCTGTCAAAAGGTCGTATACTTGATTTCGAGCCTAAAATATCAGTATTTTGTTCATTACAAAGCCAAAACTGGTCCAAACATGGAATGTCATATCTTATAATACTCGGAATTTGATTGCTATGATTCCCATTTGGGTTGCGTTCAAATCTGGGACACTTCCATTTTTTCAATTTTTCGCAAATTTTGATGATGGTACCCCTTATAAAAATGCGAAATTCGAGCAAAAATTAATTTTCTCAAAATCGAAAAACGAGTGATAGGGGTGGTAAGAGATGGTCGTTAGCAGCACAAAACAGTCGTTCTCTTGGCTGTAAGTCTTGTTTTGACCAAGATAGAGCTGGAAAAGCGCAAGTAATATTCTAAATTTCTGACAAAAAATGGGTTTTTGATATTTTAGTCACTAATTCAGCTCTCGCAGCAAAAAATCAGAACAATCATGGGGAAAGTAAGTATCAGCGTTTTAAGTTTTGGTAGTCAGCTGCATAAAACAGTCATTGTTTTAGACGTGCCGCTTGTTTTGACAAATTTACAGTTAAAAAACGGCAAAAAATCGTGTCTCTCTGCTGTCAAAAGGTCGTATACTTGATTTCGAGCCTAAAATATCAGTATTTTGTTCATTACAAAGCCAAAAATGGTCCAAACATGGAATGTCATATCTTATAATACTCGGAATTTGATTGCTATGATTCCCATTTGGGTTGCGTTCAAATCTGGGACACTTCCATTTTTTCAATTTTTCGCAAATTTTGATGATGGTACCCCTTATAAAAATGCGAAATTCGAGCAAAAATTAATTTTCTCAAAATCGAAAAACGAGTGATAGGGGTGGTAAGAGATGGTCGTTAGCAGCACAAAACAGTCGTTCTCTTGGCTGTAAGTCTTGTTTTGACCAAGATAGAGCTGGAAAACCGCAAGTAATATTCTAAATTTCTGACAAAAAATGGGTTTTTGATATTTTAGTCACTAATTCAGCTCTCGCAGCAAAAAATCAGAACAATCATGGGGAAAGTAAGTATCAGCGTTTTAAGTTTTGGTAGTCAGCTGCATAAAACAGTCATTGTTTTAGACGTGCCGCTTGTTTTGACAAATTTACAGTTAAAAAACGGCAAAAAATCGTGTCTCTCTGCTGTCAAAAGGTCGTATACTTGATTTCGAGCCTAAAATATCAGTATTTTGTTCATTACAAAGCCAAAACTGGTCCAAACATGGAATGTAATATCTTATAATAC